GTATCTATTTAAAATATTATTTTCATATATCAAGTTTTTATGACATTTAATTATTTAAAATTGTATTTAAAGTATTACATAGTTTTACCAAAAAATCCCAAAAGGGAGTATATAGATTAAAAATCTTAATATATTTTATTTGATTATTGTATTTATTTGGAGTTTATATGTTATACCATTTAAAAATATGTAACATACATAATTAGTTATATATCTAAAAAAGGTATAAAATTTATTAATCTTTTAAAAAAGAAATCCTGACGTTGTTTTCAATAAGGTATTTATCATTTTATCTTTTATTACTTCATTAAGGTAAAAATCACGGCTAGCCAAATGTATGCTGTTTCACACACACACACACACACACATACATACATACATACACACACACACACACACACACACACATATATATATATACATATATTTGTGTGTGTGTGTGTGTATGTATGTATGTATGTATGTATATGTATGTAAAAGATAGTTTAGAGGTTGTAGTGTTGACACATGTCATACGTGACAAGGCAGTAAACGCCAACGCGTACAGACCTCAAACATTAAACGCCAACGTGTAGGCCAATGTGTGCAGACACTAAGCATTGATGTTCGTCTTTCGCAATTCTCGCTTCAATAGTAACATGTACAGATGCCCAGCCGTCATATATCCCTAACGAACATCAAAACACCAAAATGAACANATTACAAAAAATGAATCTCTTCAACCACCAACATCAAATTAAAAAACCCCAAAATAGAATAATATCACTCTTCACATTTCACAAAACAAAAAGATACAATGTAGCCTTTCAAAATCCTACAAAACCAAAACATACACAACCCTTTAACACATGCCCAAGCGTAGCACGGAAGAAAATTAAATCATAAACCAAACTCTCCATTTTCAACCATCGCATCAATAATATTATGACAACGAGCCCTAATAACAAGCTCGTGCGTAGCACGGGGTAGAAAACTAGTTCACAGTAAGAATATGAAATAGAAATCATCCTCATACATAAATTTCTATTGAAATCTAAATGACTTACTTTATGTAGACTATATAGTACTCTTCTTTTTAATGTGTTTTTGCTTTCATAGACTATAAATAATTAATTGGAACTTGGCATGGCAGAACTAAACTGCAAATATGGTAATGATACCTATTGTAATTCAAGTGCTTGCTTTAACAAATAATCCTTTGCAGTTTCTTTTGGGATCAAATTGACACTTCAGACCCAACTTCCTCTTCTTCGCCGCGTCTTTAATTTTAGCCTCTTCTAAGAAAGTTTTTATTGGGTAGGTTGTTGTTTTAATGCTCCATCCGTCCACAGAAGAAGATCATGGTTTGACTTCACGATTTTTAAGAAAAGTGTCGTTGAGTAAAAATTTAGTTGTTGGAATTTGCTTAAAAGAGAGAAATGTTTTGAGCCACATAATGATTTATTTACAATGAAAGTAGGGAAATTTGAAATTTATTTTGGAACAGAGAAAAAGAGGAAGTCTCAATTTATTTTGGGGACGGGGGGAGTACTAAAATGTGACTTTCGAAAGGAAAGTCGTGTTGCCCTGAACATAAGATGCCTAGCTGATTGGACTATGTGAATTTTGGAATTTATATAGTTTACTGCATCATAATCAAAAAACAACTTATGTTGTTTTCAATATGTACAGGTTGTTGAGAATCATGTTCAATCGCTTAATGAAGTTGGAGAGTTAATTAGAGATATCTCAATTGGAATATCTTGGAGACACTCTTCATGTGTCCTAATTATGGTAAAGCTTCCTTTTGATTTTCTAAATAAATTACAACAACAATCCAGTTGAATCCCACGAGAGTTGCATCAAAGCATTGTGTTATGCTTTTTTTGCCCAAAAATTTGTCTCGAGTATTTGACCTTTCACTTGTATGGCTATATTGGTGTTTCATGTTTACTCTTTGAAACTCAAAATGATTTGTGCTAAATTCAATTTGAACAACAAACTTTCCTTTAGTTGGATCAGTGACCACATAACAAGTTCAGGAAAACAGTATAAATGGACAGGACCTCTCAAGTAGGTACATGGGAAGAAACAAATTTGGAATTCATAAGCCGATTGCTAGGCTGCTTTTGTAGCTTTGGCTTCAAATGAAGGTGGCACTTAGTCACACTAATTGCTTGGGTAAAGATTGTCACGAGTCATGACCATGTTTTAATTTCTTAGCTAAGTAAAGGTTTGTTAGCTTATAAATTTGCTTTTGTTGGTTACAACTTGGATGTGGTGTGGCCACTTCCAGCAGATGAATACAGATCCAACAGTATCTTTAACCACATGGTCCACATTCATGGATCAATTTGATCGAATTTTGTGTAATGTGTTGAGGGATGTTAGAACATATCAAATGAGCCAAAGATAACAAGATGTTTCGTGTGCTTTCGGCTATGACTTGCCATTTCCAATGAACTCAAGATGTTCAATTACTTCAGTTGTTATGACCGTCAAATAATAACAACGATGATGATTTTGAGACATTGTAGAAGCTATATCTATCTCTTCAGGATTTATGATCCGATAACGCTAGAGCCTTTTGCTTTCAGAAATCGTGGTCAGGATTCACAAGATGAACATGACAACCTCTTTTATCAGGTTTGACACACACTATGCTGATATGTTTTTTTCATAACTTTAAGATTATTGAAAGCTAGTACATATTTCTTTTCTCTTTTGACACATGCATCATATTTGTATTAGTTGCTTTTAGATTTGCTGGGCTATGCTGCCACTGGGCATATGAACAAAAAATATTAGTTCCACATCCACAGGGCATATGAAGAAAAAGTAGTAATATAATTTACAAAAGTGCAGTGAATTAGGGACAATATGCTTAGACCTCATGTTCAACAAGGCCCTTCTCAAAACAACATCATGAGGAGACCTTTTTAATCTATTTACATTGTGCACCATCAAAAAAGGAATAATAATTATCACTTTTTTGAATTCCAATCATAGCCTTGATGTGTTTAACCACTTATTAGTTCGTATACGAGTGTGCCCGCCGCACATATCAAATGTGTGAATGAGCATGATGCATGGAAGCGGGAAATGGAAGCGTAGCTTTACATATTTGAAATGTGGTAGCCACATGCTTCAAGAGTTCTCATTAGTGTGCTCTTAATGTATCATGTATTATGAATGCTTTGCTCAATGTAAACTGTTTTTCAAATTTCATTTTTAAAATTCTACTCTAATTAATTCTTAAATAAATTTTATTAAAAATAACTTCAGTCAAACATGAAATGTGACAGTACGTAGAGTAATAGACATGTGATGTATTGTAGCAATGTGTGGTGTAAGTCCAAATAATTTTGACATGAATTGGAAACTCAAATTTTAAAAAATTAGTGACCTTATTTGGTGGTACCTTGTCAATAAGGACATTTTAATGATTTTAGAGAGTTTGTGCATGTGGCATAAAGTTTTGAGATTTTTATAAAAGAAAAGATGATTTTGTATGGTGGTGGGAAGAGATAAAATATCCATCCATGAAAATGGAGTCATATACATGGTGTCTTTTCCTCGCGATAATATGAACATTAATCGTACATTAATCCTCCATGTATAGATCGAGGAAGGACATCACGAGAATATTCTTTTATTCATTTTGATTATTTGAACAAAATTTATAGACTTGATTTAACTCATTTTCATAATTAAGTCGTGTTCTCCTCAACTTATTTTTTACTTATTATTTATTTTTATTGCAATTAAATTAAATTAGATCATATCAGATCAGAAACAAATTTAAATATAACTACATTTATATTAGATTAGAATTTATTACAATCAGATCAGAACCACTTAGATTTGGTGAAGAGAACATGACCTAAGTACTTCATCTTTCTTAGTTTAAGTTACATGTTTACTATTCATAAAGTCAAATTTTAACTATGTTTTTTACACATGTTTGCGACTCGTTTGAAAAAATAATACTGTATAATTTTTTAGCTTTTATTTTGTACCCGGAGTAGAACTTTTGATATATTTTTATAAATATAAATTTAAGTTTTTAATTTTTTTCTAATTTTCAAATAAATTAAATTAGAAATAACTTTAGTAAAATTTTGTAAACAACATGCAACCCTTTTTTGAAAGGAGTGACATCTAAGAATTCTCTTCATTCTCATATGGGAGGATCTGACTAATATTATTAGTGCGTGCTACCATATTCTCATTTAAATGAGTAGCACACACTAATAAACACTCTATTTCGAGCAAAAGAGAAAATGATAAATTCACTTGAATACTTTAAGAAATTTATGATTTTACATTAATACTTTAAAATTGAATAATTTACACCAGTGCTCCATTAAACTGCTCAATTTTATACCAATACTCTAGACTGCCAACTAAGTAGAATACGTGATATTTTAAATGATGAATAGATGATTATTAAGTATTAATTGGTAATTAATTACAAAAATAAAGAAAATACCCTAAATGCGTTATAATTAGCCCCTCCATGTCGATTTAAAATAAAGTGTTTATATTCTAATGTGATAAATTATAAATAGTGTTTCAGATAAAAAAAATTAGATAATTTTAAATTTGATATGGTCCAGAATTTATATTTTAAAGATCTTTCTAGCGAATATAAATTTGATTATGATATATGTGCTTCAAAATTATTACTACGCATTTATTTTTTCTAGAACATTATTTTTCTTTATTTTTTATCAATCAATAGTTACCAACAAATACTTAATAATTTACAGTCACCATTTAAAATACCATATGTTCTGCTTAGTTGGGAGTCTAAAATATTGATTTAAAATTAACCAATTTCTTAAAACAGCGATGTAAATTATTTAATTTGAAATATTGCTACCTCCGTCCCAGAGTATTTGTCCACTTTCATTTTTACACACCATCCAATGCACTTCTTTAATCCATTTTATCTTGTAATTTGTATATTAAAAAATTATAAGAATTATATATTGATAATCTATATGTTAAGACAAATCTAACAAGATCACACATGACTATATTTAGGCTTACACATTGAGAAAATTTGATGAGTCAAAGTGCTTAGATGAACAATTCCAAAAGTCAAAAGTGAACGAATATAGCGGGACGGAGGGAGTAATTTCTAAGAACAGCTTGCATTTTCTCCACATCGTGTTTTTCTACGGAGTATTTTTTACAGTTAACATTTAAAAAAAAGAAAAGAAAAAAGAGAGCAGCCCTTGACACCTCGAGGAAGAGATAGTCTGATAGTGCGCGCCACTACGCTAGCATTTGAGAGAGAAACACACTGCAAAACCTCCAGGTAGAGATTAATGGCGAACAATTCAAGTTCCGCTTCAAATACAGATCTTCATGGCATTCTTCAAGCCATCAAATCGTCGGACGTGAGCTCTCTTCCAACTCCCGATTCGCATTTCTATTTCGTTTCAATTTAGTGTGTCAGTTCCCCTATTTGCTGCACTGGTTCCGTATTCCCTTGTTCTATGGATTATGTTTGCCGACGATTTTGATATTTAGGTTAATTCAGGGATTCATATCTGTGTTTTCTGCATTCATCAATTGTTAATGTCTTCTAGGCAGGCGCGGAAAATGCACATTATTTGATTCGTATAAGTTTAGTTGCGCCGGAAAAAAAGCATTTTCTCCTCATTTTTTTTATTTTTCGTATGAACTCGACCGTTGTTTCCGAATTGTGTTTGTGTTAACTTTGTGCGGGACAAAGTGATGTTTCGGGTGCATCATGGCTATTTTTTGTATCATGTTGTAAATCATGGAAACCAGCAGGCAATTGTTGAATGAATTAATTCGAAGTGTTAAGTAAAATTAGATATTTAGTTGGCCGGCAATTGTTGGAAGATGAGTGTGGCAGATACACATATGTCAATGTGGATATGTGGTGAGACTAGAGCACATAGACTTTGTATGAAGAAGATCAACAGTAGAGCAACACATCATTTATTGATGAAAGGAAATGAAAAAGAGGTTATGTTTGGTTTGCATGCAAGTTGTGGAGAAGCGAATGCATCGTGCGGATAGTAGAACTTTGACGTGTTACAAAATAAAAGAAAATCTATGGTAGGCTGGAAATGACAAAGATGCAAGGTTTGTAAAAGGCATTAGATCAGTAATAGTTGACAGAAACTACTGTAAATGAGGATTTTGGTGGATGATCTCAAAGGATATGTATTAGTTCATGTAGCCAACACTATTAATTTAGATCTAACCTTTGTCATTGGTTGTTGTTGAAGGAGGTCGAGGAATGTACAAAGGCATAGAAAGGATAAGAGTTCAATTGTGAGATAAACATAACATATGTTACTTGTAAAAGTAAAACAATAGGGTTAAAGCTTAGCTTTTCCTATCATTAAGCTCTTATGTTTTTAAGAAATACAATTCAAGTTAATCATCATCATCATCATTGTCAAGACCTTAATCTCAACTAGTTGGTACCGTGGCATTAAGTTTTGCCAGTGAATTGTACTTCGTATGAAAGTAACTAACACTAAAATTTCATGGGAAAAAAATATAGTGGCAATGTTTTGTACTGGATGCCCTTCATATCACAACTGTTTCAGTGTAACACTGTAACTGTATCTTAATCTATGTACATGCTCTAAATATAACTCTACCGAACACATCCATATAATAACTTATCTGATTGTGCACATGAATTTTGTTCAATAATATTCCATGCGTGTAAGTTGCTATCAGAAATTGGGAAAAAAGTGGGTTGCGTTGGGTATTAGTGATTAGTTCACGTTTGAATAGGAGCCTAATTAAACTGATATATTTGTTTGTTAAAGAACAAAGGATAGATAGACAATAAACTAATGTTTAAAAGATCACTGGGTGAACAACAATGCACACGTCGTGCAGGCTCACTACTCTTAAAAACATAAATACTGTGAGGAAACTCTGTCTCATCAATTATCTTATTTCAATCACTGGTTAATAAAGGATTCTATAGAAGATGGATTATTGTCACATGATTTTACAGAAATACTATGGCGATACTCCGTCCCATCAAACTTAGTTTTGCCAAGGAGCTCTGGATACTAATGAATCACTTGATTTTGTTTCCATGCCTGGTGTGCAATTTTATTGCAATAAATATTAAGAGAAGCAACACTGTACTCTATCATAAAAATTATACTATATCGTGAATGTATACACCACAAAGATGAGGTGCACTCCTGAATGAACCATGTGAATACTAGAATTGGGGAGTATAAGTCTTGGCTTTAGAAAGGTTATTCATTACATAACCTATTAGTTATATACTTGCTTTCTTGTTATCCTTTGATATTCACGAGTTAGCAATATCTTGCTTGGTATGCTATAAGGACAATGTAATAAGTGTTGTTTGATTTTTATACAGAAAAGAAAAAAACACTTTCTCTTGCAAAAGTTGTGACGAGATTCATATTGATTTGTTTGTATGTTTCATGTCTACTGGGTTCATTTTTATTTTGTAACACATTCTTCATCAGTTTTTGTTTGGGGCACATGATGGACTAAATACAAATGACACATCAAACTTACCTTGCTTCTTCCTTTCTATGAAAATTTGGGAAGTAAATGCATCTGGGGTCTAATGGAAACAACCTCTCTCATTTCAGGGGTAAGACTATACTTCTTGATCCTCCACACTCCAACTAGTTGGGATTATACTGGGTTGTTGTTGTAATCTTTTGGAGTTTGGCTTTCTGTTGGTTATTAGCTTGTGGCATACCCTCTAGGCCACTTGCACTAGCTTAGCCAGTATAAGATTCTTATTTTTTTATACTGTGTGTGTGTGTTTGTGCGTGTTTGTTGTCTCCAATATTCTCTCCCCTCTTAAAAGGAAAAGGAAAGGGAGACTCTTGCATTTATTACGGACTTACAGAGTATCATATTATTGTGCTCTAGTCTTGCTTAACCCGCCTACCCTTTAAACCTCTTTCATCTTAATCAACAATGCTGCATTTTGGAGCATCAGTTTTTACTGCATCAGAATGAAACAGCAACTTATGTTGTTTTCCACATGTACAGGTTGTCGAGAATCGTGTTCAATTGCTTAAAGAAGTTGGAGAGTTGAACATAACAGAGATATCTGAAGTGGAATCTCTTATTGACTCTCTTCAAGTATCCTAATTACTACAAAGCTTCCTTTTGTATTTCTAAATAATCATTGAAACTTACTTTTTCTCTATGATCCTTCACTTAGCAACAGTCATTGTGTTTTGCTGATGCCCAGAAATTTGTCTTGAGTCCTTGACCTTTCAGTTTATGACTATATTGGTGTTTCAAATTTACTTTTGGGAACTCAAACTGATTTATGCTAAATTCATTTTGAACATCAAAGTTTTCTTAAGTTGGATCAGTGGCGAGAATGTAACTACATAAGAAATTCAGGAAAACAGTATAAATTGACAGGACTTCTCAAGTAGGTACATGGAAGAAGAAACAAATTTAGAATTCATAGGTCGCTACTCTGTCTTTGCAACTTTGGCTTGAAATGAAGGTTGCACTAATTCACACAGATTGGGTAAAGATTGTCATGACCATGTGTTAGTTTCTTAGCTATATTTTTTCACTATGTTTTATATTTTGAAGTTTTTTAGCTTATGGATATGATTTTTGTTGGTTACAACTTTCATGTGGTGTGCCCACTTTCAGCAGATGAGTGCAGATCCAACAGTATCTTGAAGTTTTCATGGATCCATTTGGTCGAATTTTTGGTAATGTGTTGAGAGATATTACAACACATCAAATGGGCAAAAGATAACAAGATGCTCAATTTGATTTGGCCGACATTTGCTATTTCTAATGAGTTTGAGATGTTCAATGACTTTAATTGTTATGACTGTTAAATAATATAACAATGATGTCGAGACAATCTAGAAGCTCCATTTATTTCTCCTCAAGATTTATGACCCAATAACACTATTGCCTTTTGCTTTCAGAAATCGTGGTATTTTTTACCTTGGTCCTTGCACTATGCAGTTCTTTTTACTAAAACATTTATATATAATATTCTCTCTGCATAAATAACTTAATGTTTTCCTATTTGGCTGTCCCTAGATGAAGTACTTTATCCTTGTTTGGTAAAAGTGTTAATCTTCACCATCTACCTTCTTTTAATGTCTCTACATACCACCATAAATTCTTCCCACTCGCATATCGCTAAGTCAAACATGTAATTCAAAAGCAAAACATTTTCTACATTAAAAACCGTGTAATTTGAACTTAATACTTTAAAGAGAGACTGCTGGAGAGGTAAAAACAATGACACTGATAACTTTGGACATTACTTCGTTTTGATACTTATTGATTGTTTTCTCTTTGCTGCACTATTTGTGTATAGTGATGCTCATTTTTGTACCTGCGTGTACCTTAACATTCACTGGACTCTCTGGGAAGATTTTACCTGCCTAGACATATCTCAGTGCACACTAAATAAGACCATTTTGCAAGTTGGGGCAAAATATCTTGATTTGGATATATCTGGAAATCTGGGGCAAATAATGGGTTTAGGAGCAAAGGTGATCCATCATCATCCATGGTTCTCAATTCAGTTGTTTTTCTTAGGGATTTTGTTTTTATTAATTTAGTTTTTTCATATTATCAGGCTGCCATATGGTGTAGAAAGCATCTTAAGATGACAGTTATGTCTACCGGCCAAGATTCACAAGATGAACATGACAACCTCTTTTATCAGGTTTGAAAGTGACTGCAGTTAATATGTTTTTTTTATAACTTTAAGACTATCAAAAACTTTTTCCTCTCTTTTGACATGCATCATATTTGTCTTAGTTGCTTTTGGATTTGCTGGGCTATGCTTCCTCTAGCTTTTCAGCTTTAACCAGATATCCTATTGCGGATAACAAAGATTTGATAACTGTTGTTGAGAGTTTCATTTTGGAGCAAATGAACCTGATAAGGGATTCCATTTCGGAGATGAAGGTATCGCCTGTGCATGACAAATTATAGTTGTCCTGAGTGTTTTCATATGTATCGGGTATTTATTTCTTTTTTTGTTATAATACGTTTACCCTCATCCATAATATCATTTCGGTATGACTTATGTAGTGAGTAGTCTGCACAGTGGGGCTATTCTTACAACAATTTCTTCATTATATATTTAAATTTTTTAATTTTCTATTATTTTTTATCTTTTTCTTTTTTTCGTCATCTCTGATGGAGCCAAATATTCATTTTTTTTGGCTTTGGGGTATGATGGAATAAAACAAAATGACTCTTTAAAATGTCTTAGCTTCTTTTATAATGAAGTAACATATAGTCAATGCAACTTTCGAAACTCATCATGGGTCATCTGGAAACAGCCACTCTATGTTTTAAACATAGGGGTTAGGCTAGTATATCTGACCCCCTTACCTGCAATGGGCAGGAGCCTTTGAGGCAATGGGGTAATGATTGTATCTCCTTTTTCTTTTCCTATTTTCTTCACTACACACACACGCGCATATGTGTGTGTGTGTGTGTATGGTCGGTTTATGTAAGCAATATGGTTGGAAGATAAACTTCTTTTTTATATGGATTTCTCAAGCAGACGCTTTCTGTGTTTGGATCCGAAATGCAAAAGATGGTGCAAGAAGTCCTTGATTCATTGATGCGACTATGCAGGGTGTACTCTGACAATGTAAATTGGGATTCCTATCGTCTAAGAACAGACAGTGGTACAAATATTGTAGGTGCTCTAGAGGTGGATAGCACTGATCATGTTGTCAATGTAATCAAAATTTCTGTTGAGAAACTGTGTGAGGTTGGCATCACTGCAGGTAATAATGGAGGAAGCTCTGTGAGCTTATTAAATCTGTCATGGAAAGGTGTAGTTACCTTGCTCCAGCTCGGAAAGGGCTCTTTAGCAGTAAAGGTGGATATTGCAGCCACCATTTTGAGCTTGATTTCACTTGCTAATAATTGTTTGAGGATTGCAGCTGATGAGTGGTCATCCCCTCAGAAAGAAACAGTGTCATTTGTTGAAGCTAAAAGAATATTCCTTCCGGTTAAGTTTTATCTAATTAATGCTGTGAGAATTATCTCCCAATATCCAACCCAATCATTTTCAGTTTTCAAAGATATTACGCTTTTTCTTGTAAAGGTGGCAACCTTTAAAATCTTATTGTGTAATGATGAACTCCTAAAATTTGCAAGTGAAGCGATGGTGGAAATACTGGACCCTACATCCTTGCATATTCTTAATTCTTTCTTAAATTCTGCTCAACTGCAACCAGATCACAAGTTTCAACTTCTGGATTGGATGTTTGGGTTTAGATGCGGATGGGATTCAGATTATGTTACTTCTTCCAGTGACAGTGAGATGAATTCAATGAATGCTATTTTTTGCTCAAACTCTGATGACATGCATAGTGGAAGAGCTCTGTTGCCCGGTCGAGTCATTGTATTTCTTACTTTACTGAATAGTGCTCAAGATATTGACGATGCTGTTAGAACAGTGATAGCCAGAAAACTTGATTGGTTAATGGGCACATTTGTAGATGATTATATATATTCTTTGGTTCTAGGCCTGCAAATTCCTACAGTCTGTAGTTCAACTCAAAAGCAAGAAGTGATTTATGAGCCTATATTTCATTCAGCACTCCATGCACTGAAAACCTTCATGATAACTGGTTCTTCAAGTTCAGCCTGGTGTCATATAGAGCATTTCCTGCTTGAGAATATTTTCCACCCCCACTTTCTCTGCCATGAAATTATTACTGAACTTTGGTGTTTTATGTGTCGCCATGCCGAGAAGGATATAGTGCATGACATTATTGACAAACTTTGCTCATTATTGCAGTATTCTGCATCTCCCGAATCTGTATTCAGTCCTCATAGTGCACTGCGAAAAGTTGCAAGATTTATTTGCAGGCTTGTTAGTTCTGGCTCAGAATCAATGGCAGATAAAATCTATACTTCAGTTGTGGGCAATAGCAGATCCCATTGTTCATCAATTATGTACTTAGCCCTGCTCATGGAGGGATTCTCTCTTGATTTCCTTTCTAACAAACTGAAGAGTTCAGTCAAACAACAAATAGTTGTTGAATACTTTGAATTTCTCGACACATTTCAGGACAAATTACCGAGAGAGTGTGGCTCTGATGTTTATGGTGCTCCGGTTTTTGCTTTATCAGCTGTGCTACAATCTCGGTAAGCAAGATCTTTTTTAATAATGTAAAATATTGATGAATCCACACTCTTTCCTGAGCTGAATATGTTGCAATGATTCTTTTTTCACCCCTTGACTTACATTCTTATTCTCTTTATGCTTTGTGCATCCGTCTTCTAGTTTTGTCAGTATATCTGACACAGAGATGAAGAGCCTAAAGTTCCTAGTATCTGTGATTCACAAATACAATAGCTCAATGGACACCCTAGAAAGGGACGTTTATAGAAGGCTTCTGAGTGAAACTCTAACTATTGTCTCCAAGGTTAAGAATCTGTACTCGTCAGATGACATGGAAGCAGTCGTCGTGGAGCTTCAGAGCCTTTTCATTTCAAGCCCATCAGACAGTCAATTATATATATGCAAACCGAATCTTTCATCATTCATGGCCGGTCTTGGCTACATGGAGTTGTCAAACAGTGAAGACACCACAATGAACGTTGCTGTAAGGGAGCTATACCACATGCTACTACAAGAAAGGCATTGGGCCTTTGCTCACTTGGCCATTTCGGCTTTTGGGTTTTTCGCAGCCCGCACAAACTGTAACGAGCTATGGAGATACGTGCCCCCAGATGCCGCACTGTCATTCGATTCGGACTTGGGAAACGAAGCGGGCGAGGAGAGGTTTATGTCCGAGCTAAGAGTGTTTCTTGAGAAGGAAACATCCTCGTCTTCGGATGCGAATTCGGTCCCAAATCTCAGAAAGGAGGGACAACTGCTGAAAGAGACTGCGCGTTCAAAAACCAGACTGTGTGGCATTGAAGCGACGATGATGGAGGTTGATGACAATGAGAAACAACACCACCAAAGCAGCAGGAAAAGGAAACTGCCAGAGGGAATCAGCCAAGGAATGGAACTGCTGCAGAGTGGGTTGAAGGTTATGGGTGACAGTCTTTCGACACTGCACAACAACCAATTCGACTCGATCGAAACCCACGAAAAATTCGTGAACCAAATCTCTCAACTCAAAGAGGTGATCACCAGCTTGGCTGGCTTAGCCAGGGCCTAACTCTCCTATACTATTATACCCAGCTTGTGTTGTATATGAATATGACCTCTTAATTATCCTTGTCTTTGCACTCTGAGATGTGACCAGAAAATAGAGGACAGAATGGTATTTTCTTGTCCCTTGTAATTAGGCGAGCTATTATGTGAATAGGGGGAACTTGCATGTTTTATTCCCTACTTAATTTGAGGTGTTGGCATGCAATGTCTTTCTAGTGAAAAAAAACTAGAGGTACCCAAGTGTAGTTGACTTGAGTTGACTTTAGTTTAACCGGTTAACCCTTGACCTAATCCTTTATTTGAGTCGATGCCCAATCCGATTTTCAGAACATTGGTAGAATGACATGTGTTTCATTTAGTGTACCCTAATTTAATTCTAAATTGTAATTCCAAATGTTTCGTATAGTTATAATTACTCCGGGGAATAAGTTAAAATAATAAAACGACTAAAGGTTTCACATTATCATTCATTGCACTTTTCTTCAAAATACATTTTGAATCCCCATACATTACATTTAAAACATTCCTCGAACCTGCGTTTCTCTCTAAGTCAAAGCTATATAAGACTGGATCAATCTCCCTACAAACCCCACACCTCTTCGATAATTAATTACTCCTAATTAAGCAAAAAAAGAAGAAACTAAATTAAATGGGAGTGGCAAATAAGCCCCACGCATTGGTGGCCGTCCTGGCACTGGCACTGGCGCTCTCCGGCGCCGCCGCCGGCGGATCGTCGGCCACCGTCGAGATCTACAACGACTTCGGGAAGCACGTGTCGCTGGACTGCCTGAACGGCGGGATCGGGGAACTGGACCAGGGCCAGAGCTATTCATTTGAGGTCGATAACGGGAAGATCAAAGACGGGAACGCGTATTTGTGCGAGGTCGACGACGGTCCGGCCAATTATATCCAGGCCCGGGGATTCGACGGAGCCAGAGACAAGGATCATTTGAAGGTGTATTGGAAGATCAGTACCGATGGATTGTATCGCAGTTACGATAACAGTAACTGGACTTTCGAAACCGAGTGGTCCTCCATTGGTTAATTTTTTTTCGTTTGTTAATCGGTATTCCACTAATTAATATTATGAAAGGTTAAAATACATTTGGATTGGATTGATTTGAGTAAAACATAGAAAATATGTTAAAATAGGAATTCTATATTTTTACTCCCAAAATAGAATTTAAAATGAAAATACAACGACGCCAATCATACCATATATAATGCCAAAAAGTATTGTAAAATACGGATTATCAAAATACAGTGTCACATTATCAAAGTGCAAACTCATATTTTGGAGATAAAACATTGAACTCCTATTTTGGTACCTTTCTTATACTTTACTTCTATTTAAGGTGATTTCTTCTCGCGATTCAGTTATAAGGTTTCAAAATTGCAATCGTTTAATAACCAATCTCTAGATGTTCTTAATTGAATATCAAGAATGCTAATGGGACATCAAAAGTGTACCTCATTTGTATACCACCACACTCTTAACTACACACTTTTTGATGTGGATAAGGAGAGAGAAGTGAATAAAAATGTGTGGTGAAAAGTATGGTGGGGTATAAATTAGGTACATTTTTGGTGTACTCCTAACATTACTCATTGAATATAACTAATAAAAATTTTAAATGGACGAAGATTTATAATTGAATTTTTTATTATACATTTGATACAATGTGCATTTTTGTCCACCTACCCTTTCTCTTAAAAAGTGCCATATTTAATAGGGTAGGTATTTTGCCAAAATAAGGATACTTTTAATTTTGTTAGGAGTGAGTTGCATGGATAAGGCATTCATTAAATTCTATTCCAAAATGACTCTACCATTGTTACCCTTTCCTTAAAAAGACATTTTTGAATCCAATGGATTCACCCATGCATCCCAATTCAAAGCATTCAATTTTTATTTCCTTCAATAATATGCATCTCAATCTATATAAGACAGTGTATCAAAATCTTCCAACCAACAACAAAACACCTTAATAATATTCATAAGGAAAAAAATGGGACTTGCAAAGAAACCCAACTCGTTGATGGTCGTGATGATGCTGGCACTCATGGCATTGGCTCTCTCTGGTGCCAATGCCCGCGCATCATCATCACGGCTGTCGTCAGGATTAGCCGCCCCGGTCATTGAGTTTGACAACGATTACGGGAATCAGGTGACTCTTGAATGCGGATTATCCTCAAGGATTAAGGACGTGAAACTCGCCCCGGGACAGAGCTATTCGATTAAGGTCAACGTGAAAAGCAAACACATGGATGATTATGATTGTATGCTTAGCGACGATTCCAATTCCGTATACGTGGAAGGGCAGGCATATGATGCTGTGAGAGACAAAGGTCGTATGAACATATATTGGAAGGTCGACACGGTTGGGTTGTACCGCAGTTATGATAAACTTCACTGGGTTTTGGAAGAGAAATGGTCTAGCATTGACTGATTTCTTTTTTAATTTGGTTTTTGTTGGCCTAATTTGTTTGTGCTCCAATGATTAATTAATAAGTGATGTAGGGGGATGATTGGATTGGTTTAGAATGGATAATGGTAAACGAATGTCATTTTAATATATCATACATACATTTCTAAAAGTCCAACTCAATTAATCTCACTACAAAAAAAGGAGGCAATATCGACAAGGGTCAATATGTCGCTAAAGCTTGAATATCTGTCGCTACTCGCTTTTACCGACAGATAATTGTCTGTCGCTACGCTGTCGCTAAAAACTCCGTCAGTAAAAGTATTACCGACAGATAAAATATACTGTCGCTAAAATAGTGTAATAGCGACAGACCAAAGATGTCGCTAAAAAAGAGAGGTGTACCGACAAAATATATATGTCGCCAAAACATGGATTATCGACAAAAAATAGTGTGGGTAAATCCTTCTTTTCTGTCGGTAATACCTTGTTTTTACCAACATTAACATCTATCATAATTGTCGCTAAAAGTTAGATTACCCACAAAAAATTGTGTGAGTAAAACATTTTTTTCTACCGGTAATAGTTTATTTGACCAACATTAACATTTATTATAACTGCTACTAATACCATGTTTCACACCAACATGCTCTATTTAAGTGATTTCAAAAAATTTCATTGACAAATAAAAAATAATACTCATACTTGTATTAACAACAATACATAATACGTTAACATATTAAAGGGTTACAACTAACCCATTTATTAGAAAGTAAACCAACATCTCAAAATTAGTTCATCATTTGCGTTATAAACAAAAAAGGAAATAAATTAAAATACACATTGATACGGAAGATATAGTCCAAAGCTATAATGCTCGTCACTGTCTACATCTTCAAGTTCATCGCTCTCAGCTTCATCATCTTTGTTCCATCAATCTTCATCAAGACTTTTCTCAGTGGTTGTATTACCATCAATTGTAAAGTCATTGATTTCAGATTGATTAGCCGTTGAACCCTATGCAAAAAAATTTATAAGAACATGATAACGTAATTACAAATTTTGCACTAAATTTACCTTACACTCATGCTAGGTGGTATAACTTTAAACTATATAATGAACTAAACAAAGAAAAAAAATCTCATTTGTTCCAATTCTCAAACGAAGAAGATAAAAACTTAAACATAGAGCAGACCACAGATAGGGATACATACCTCTATTACTCAACACACAAGAAGGGAAGAAGTGAATAAGCACTGCAGGGGTCTGTCTCAAGATCGTCTCAGCGAAGAAGGCAGAATTGCTGCAGCTTCGAACTGAAGTCGTGGACCCCTCTCCGATGTTATATATATACATGTTACACACTTCAAATATGCTATCTTCTTTCTTCTTTCTTTCTTCTTTTGTTATACTAGAAGAGCTAGCGCAGAGGAGCTATTTATATATAGCTATACAATAATTATCATGTCCAATTCCTCTTGGAGCGGAGTGGAGTTAGCTTGTCCCTCCATTGAGCTGCACACCCAAACAATTTAATCTTCTTATTTTGAGTTCCTAAACCTCCTTATATATATATATATATATATATATATATATATATATATATATATATAGTTTTAATGGGGGCATTTAATTAATAAGGCTTAGTTAAAATTCATGACTTAGAAGGAACTAACCTGCATCTATATAGTGTTCCTCTACTGCAGCAATGAGCATGTTCCTCAAAAGAATGAACTCTTTCGTCTCAATCCCGGCCTCCTCGCTACCTCTGTATATTTATGTATATACACATACAACCATACCACATACAGATATAAAACACATACATATATAATGGCACCTATAAAATTGCGTATATGTTTTTAATCCATGCCCAAAGTAGTCTTGTTTGTGATCTTATCTTGTTTTTACCTATCGAGCTCAAACAAGAGTGACGAATGTGAAGAAACCAGTGTGAATGGCTTGGCAGACTCCACCACCTTAAGGCCATCACTGTATGCTAAGTACTTGTTCACTTGTATTGGCACCTATTCATTCATTCATATATGTACAACACACTTAATTATGATGACATTACAAATATTCTATATATAAAGAGGGGAGGGGATGATCTTTGTATGTATTCAGCAGAAGAATTCAATTTACAGAAAGAGTACCTTGCATTTCACGGCGATGTTGATGGCATCGGAAGGTCGGATGTCAAAGCTGATGCTCTCATTTTCATAACCATATTGCTATCAACGGCCAAAATGCAACATTTTCACGAGTCCACATATTAATACTCAGAACATTCTTATTTTCTATCCATTAAAACTCAAAACGACGGAGTAATAAGCTAAGTGAAGGTCGTAATTACCTTGGTGAGATACAATTGAGCAAAATATGCATCATTTACTCTCTTCGTAACACGAGCAAGTTTCACCTTTAAACAATAGGGGAAAAAATTAAGCATCATGATTCAACTAGGTTTATAGATATAGCTTAGTGCTATAATAACGCCAAAATAACCAACTCATTCATTACTTNTTAAAACTCAAAACGACGGAGTAATAAGCTAAGTGAAGGTCGTAATTACCTTGGTGAGATACAATTGAGCAAAATATGCATCATTTACTCTCTTCGTAACACGAGCAAGTTTCACCTTTAAACAATAGGGGAAAAAATTAAGCATCATGATTCAACTAGGTTTATAGATATAGCTTAGTGCTATAATAACGCCAAAATAACCAACTCATTCATTACTTCATAGCCCATCTTCCCAATCATTTCCTTCACCACTTGGTAGATTATTGGTCTTGCCTGATAAAGAGCACCCGAAATAATGCGTCACTCCACGAGTATTACAAAGATAGGATACATTATACAAGAACAACAACCTAGTAAGGCCCTTTTTGCTATCAGCTTAAGAAAACATAAACACAGGTTATAACATCAATGAAAAGTTAGGGTATATGAAAATAGTAATTTTATATAATAAAAAAACATACAATTTGGACATTGCGGAGAGCTTCCATGAGCAACACACTTGGCATCTAAGAAATTAGTGAAAATCTTGGATTGGAATACTAAACAAAGAAGGATGAAGAAATAGTACCGGAATCAGCCCTCGTTCATGACTGTCAGACGAAGACTAGGGTTCGCCGGAGGTTTGGCTCTGCTTTGCCACCACGAGCTATCGTCCTCCGCTGCTGTTGCAATCGGAGAACCACCCAGCGTCGAGGAAGTAGTCCGTCCCCGATCCGTCTGTCTTCGTGCCCAATTCCGATCGAAATTGCGAGCCCTCCGTCCAACCCGTTGATCGAAGAAGTGGCCGAAACCGCTTTCTTTCCAATCCCCGGCACGTTTTCTGTGGTTGACTACATATTTTTAACCGCGTTAGAAATGGTTAAGAATCTCTAACTTATTATTCTATATCAATATGAATGATTCTACATATCTCCACTAGCGTTTTCATCCCTCTCGTTTTTAATTTGTTAATTTGTTCTTTTATCATATGTCTTGATTCTATTAGTTCATTTTAGCCCTTTAATTTTAAATTCTAACTTAAAAATCTTAAATTAAAAGTTATAATTTTTAATTTGTAAATATTCAATGTAAAAAAATTATTTTTAATCATTATTTTTTAGTTTTTTATCTTTTAAATTTATAATTCATTTTTATTATCATATATTTTTGTGCGACCAAATAACAAAATCCAAATTGAGGTTTTTCATTTCTAACTCCATGGCCTCGATTTCGTGTTCTAAATGATGCCTAATTTTATGGTTTTTTATAATTAAGATATTTAAATTAAATGTCAATAAAATCAATACTGACGGATAAAACATTGTTGCTAAAACAATAAACAATACCGACAGATAAATTTTTGTCGCTAATACTATAAACAATACCGACAGATAATTTTTTGTTGCTAATACTATAAACAATACTGACAGATAAAGTTTTGTCGCTAAAACTATAACCAATACCGACAGATAAAAGTTTGTTGCTAAAACTATAACCAATAGCGACAGATATTACTCTTTCTATGGGTCAAATAGTTTTTGCCTTCAAATAATTTTATCTGTCGGTAATATTCTCTTTTTAGCGACAAAAAAAGTTTCTGTCGCTAAGGATCTGTCGGTATTGCCCTTTTTTTGTAGTGTCTAAAAAGAAGATGACAAACTCGTTAATCTTAGGGTCGAATTCTAAGAGCAGTAATGTGGAGTTTTATTTTTTGTAGTAGCTCCTTGTGCGTATCAAGTACAGGACGGTCTCTCTAAGGACCAGAATGATATTATACCATGATTTACCCTCTTACAATCCTGTCGGGTCGGGATATGGAGGCGCCCGGGGTGGGCGTTTCGCCTTTATGAATGTTCAGATATTTAGAATTTAGCACAAAGACTGTGATGGCTTTAAATTAAAACAAGAGTAAAAAAAAGGGAGAATTTGAAGAAAAAAGGGAAAAGAATTGGAAAAAAATGATTAAAAAAACAAAATTTGTTGAAATGAATACTTGATGCGGGATATTTCCGGCGCGTCGTGTGACACCAAAGACCTCCGATTAGAAAGATGATGGAAATGAAATGTAAATGGAATGTGAAAAAGTAATAAGCGAGGGTAGTGGTAAAAGTACGAGATTTTGAATCCAAGGGGATATCGTGATTAGTTAGAATTTGAGTGCAAAATGGAACTAAACACTAATAATGTCGAGATATCTAGAATTTAACACAAAGAATGTGACGGCATTGGATTAATTAAGAGGAGTAAAAAATCAGGAAGAACTTGAAAAGGTGGGGGCCGGGGTTTAAGGAGGGAGTTAGGAGGTAAAAACATCAATTTTTCATTTGGATCATCGGAAGAGCACCAAATAAGCAAATGTCATCCATTGGAAATAGATGCTAGTATCAATAGTACCTTGTCGTTAAAACAATATATACTCTTTTCATTTTAATGTTTTTAATTTTTTCATTTTACATTATTTTTGTGACTCACATTCATTATTATTTATTTTTATACGTTTTAATATCAATAATTCAAATATTCATTTCTTATTTTCAAAAAATTAATGGATACCTCGACCCGGCTCATGGAAGAACACATTGCCGTTTAAGACTTTAAGATTGGAGGCCCAGATTGAAAGTTAGATATAAAGAGTTGATCAAGCTAGGCTCCTTTTTTGGGGCTCGCCCCAGCGAGACCGTCAAGTATGGATTTAATTCCGAAAGAAAAAAGTATTCCGGCCCAGTGTTATCAGAAAGAATCAATAATCGAATGGTAAATAAGCTACCATTTAGTAAATTATTTATTATGAAACGTAGATGTTCTACCGTTTCGTTAAAAACTAACGTAATAATGAATGTGAGCCATACAAGACAAGATGACAACCTACGCCCTACATATGGTAAAGGAGATAAAAGATAAATTTTAATTTTGCATAAATAGTAAAACAAATACTAACTCCGTCCATTTTGATTCCTCCCATTTGACTTTTCATAATTTTTACATATGAGTATTATTTTGATCATTAAAATCTTTATTAGAGTTGAATATTTTATAAAAGCATAATATCTCAAAAGTACATGGTGAAGCGTTGATTAACTTTATTTAATTTAAATTAATTAGTTAGTTACTACTTCAATAATTATTAATGTAGAATGAAAAAGTGTTAAAAAAATCGAAAACTCGTTTCTAAACAATGTTTCCATATGTCTTACTTTATATAAATGACTTAGAGCTTATTATTTAGAGCTTAAATTCTTAATTTTCAGTGTCTTTCAGTTCCTTCCAATTACTTCCAATTCCTTCTAGTTTCGTCTAATTCTTTCTAGTTTCTTCCAGTTTTTCAAGTATCTTCATTTTTTAAAACTAGTACTCTTTCAACTCCCCAAACAATTACTTTTAAAACGATGTATTTTTAGAGTGATTATTATTATTATCATCATCATCATCATCATCATCATTATTATTAGTATCTTCATTATAGTTATTATTAGGCATAAAGACCAAATTAGGACTAAAATATTGAAAATATACCAAAATAGGACTTCCATGTTTTTATTCCCGAAATAAGACTTACATTACCAAACATGGTCATATACATTACCAAAAAAGTATAGTAATTTGCACATGTACACTGCCACATTAGCACAATGCAAAGTCACATTACCACATTGCAAAGTCTTATTCCGGAAAAAAAAACATGAAAGTCCTATTTTGGTACTTTTCTCTATGTTTTAGTCATATTTAGGATGATTTCTATTATTATTACAACGTATTATTATTATTATTACAATTATTATATTTATAACTATAGTTCATAAATTATTTCATTTTTTTATTTTTTTCATGTCACTATTTTTACGATTAAAGCACTTTTAAACTGATACGAAGAAAATATTTTTCAAATTTTTATAAAAAAATTTTGAAAATTAAATTATTTTAGAGAAAACACCTAAAGGAGTAAAACATAAAAATGTTCCAAAATACGAGTTTTATCAAAAAAGAGTAACAATGTCAATCATGAAAGAAAAAAATAGATTTGATCATATTATGTGTCAGGTCTAATATTTAAAATAAAATCTTGTAATATATAAAAAATAATTACAAATATATTATTTTATAATAAATAGTGCATAAATAAATTGAGATGAAACATAAGGACAATAAAATTTTAATGTTCAACATTTTCATATGTATGCTAACTTTATATTCTAATTAAATAAATTTTTGCAAAAGTAGATTTTTGTGTATGAAAAAATGGCAATACTTTTTTATCTTAAAGATATTGGTTAAGATAACGTGATTATGAATAGAATAGTAAAAACATGAAACTTTTATTTTAATATTTTTTTTCTATGTTTTAGTCATATAAGACGATTTGTAAGAGAAAACAGATTTTAGTTTTGGTAAAGCGTCATAATTAGAAATCTATTAAATAATATTCCAAATGTCTCCCATGCATAATTATTCCACTATACTTTTCCTTAAAAAGTCATTATTAATTGAGTGGATTTTCACCCACCTTAATTTAAAACGCCCCTTGAACCATATAAGAGCGGATCAAAATCTCCCATCCCTCAACCACACACCTCCACAATAACAATAACCAAAAGAAGGAAAATGGCAGTCGCCGCCACCAATAAATCCGCCGTATTGACCGCAGTCCTCTTACTGGCATTGGCTCTCTCCGGCGCCGGGGCCGGCGCACCATCTCCGTCGGCCACCGTCGAGTTCTCCAACGAGTACTATAACCCGCTGGATTTCGACTGTTACAAGGGCGGGGCGGCGGACGGAGTAGCCCCGGGCAAGAGCTTTTCGTTTGAAATTCATAATCTGAAATACAAAAACGAGAACGCGTATATATGTAACATTTACGACGACACGGTGGCTACTCTCCAAAGCCGGGGGTATGATCGGGTGAGAGACAGGGGCCATTTGAGCGTGTATTGGAAGATCAACACCGATGGATTATATCGTAGTTATGATAAAACTCACTGGATTTTTGATACCGAGTGGTCCAGCATTGATTAACTTTGTTTAATTTCATTTAATTTGTTACGACCCAATAATAATTGGTATTAATGTATGATGAGAAAAACGTTAATAATAATCGAAAAAGATGTTCCTAAAAGAAACTCGGTGTCTTACTTTAAACCGAAAGGTTCCCAAGAAATTGTCCGACAATGTCATGGGATGACCCAGGGGTGCTCTGGTATCCTGTTCGTAAAATTGATGGTTTTTACCACTTCTAACCCCCAAACTCTCCCACCACGCCCTGATTCGAACACACTCTCACCTCGTTCAATTGCACCACACAAGATTTTGACTTTGGAGTCAAAATTTGACTTTAGAGTCAAAATCAATATGTGGGGTGCAATCAAAGGGGTAGAAACCATCTATTTTACGAACGGCAAACCGGAGTACTCTAGGGTCATCCCATGACATTGTGGGGCAATGTCATGAGAATCTTAGTGTACTTTAAATTGCATTGTAGCTCTAGTTTCTTATATGGCTTGGAATATAGATCCCAATCACCCTTCTTTTTACAATGTAACTTGTTTCTAAATTTTTTAGAATTTCCAAAATATTCAATTCTGTCATCTCTATCGGTGAATTTTTAGGTATGTCATGTTTTTTGTGCTTATAAACTGGTCAAAATTATCTGTAACCATTTTTTAACTTATAAATTAGCTAATGACATATTTTTGTGTGTTTATAAGCTAACTCATAAGCTGCCTATAAGCCGAAAAAATAAGTAGGTCTTTACCACTTATTTTTAAGCTCTTTTTTGTTTTTCCTTTTTTACCAGATTATTTATAAAACTGTTTTTCACTATTTATGAATATTTAGAAATGATTTATCTAACATTTAATTCATAATTCCATAAAAAAATATTTTATTTATAAACACCGTATACGTTAGAAAATGCTTATCAAGAATAGTCCAATAAGCACTAGCACAGAGAAACACCACTATTGTTTGGTATTCACACATTAGGATTGTAGCGAGATGTTTGAGAGGGGAGGGCTCACTTGTAATATCCTGATTTCAAAATAAATGGATTGAGGAAAGAAAAAGGATAAAAAAGATTGATAGTACTACTCATACCAACAATGTGCATCTTTTTTTCGAGAACTCATCACCTAGAAACTCCAAATTACATGTGCTTGACTTGGAGCAATTCTAAAATAGGTGATCTCTTGGAAAATTCCTTGGGCGTGCACGAGTGAGGGTAAAGCACACGAGAAAGACAATGTTGGTTTGTGGGGCCACTTTACAATCTTATGAGTATACACTTACGGCCAGAGTGGGGTCGAGGTGTTATTGTAATGGCCTAAAAACCGGTCTAGAAGTTAATTGATAATTAAATAAATAAGAATTATTTATTTACTTGTCGTCTCAATATAATATGACTAATTTGATTGTATTTATAAAGATTTAAATTAAAAGATTAATCTATATTAATTAATTGAAAGAATTAAGACGGACCAGATGGAATTGGTAAATGCTCATTGATTGATGATAAAAGTTGGGTATGTATCGATGAATCAAATCCAACGACACGAACGGATCTCAATCGGAGCAAGTTCCCTTCAAAAGTGGGTACAAAACCCTAGTATAAATATTCCCCTCTTTGCGATCGTCTCTTGAGAGCGCAGCGCCTCCCTTTTCTTAGATCCACAACACGCGATGACAACACCGACGAGGGACGCTGACCATACCAACGCCGGCGACCATGGTGACGGCGTGAGCCAATTCAAGCGCCGACACCCTGTTTTTTCTCCGATCAAGCACAACGGCGACAACACGACAGAATCTACGACGGCGAGGCGACGACGAGGAGCAGCGCCGGCCTCCATCCTCTTCTGGCAATTGTGGCGACCTAGATGGCGAACGGTGATGGGGAGGTGACGTCTGGAGACGGCGACGAACCAGTCCTCTCCGGCGACCGTTCTCCCTACTCCGGCGATCTCTGCAATGGTGGTGACCGGATTGGCGAATCAGCGACCTCCATGCTCCGGTGACGGAGTTCGGGCAGCGGGTAGTTCCGGTCAGTAGTAATTAAACCAGCGACGGGATTGACCCCGATGTTTTCAGGCGACCTCCGTTAGGGGTGACAGTAGTGTCGTGAGGGGTCCTATGGCAGCAGCGTTCGGGCAGCAGTAAATCAAGGCAGCGGGCTGAGTTTGGACAACGAATAGGTTCAGACAACAGTGGTGATGGTGTCGTGGCAGCTTGGCAATCAATTCCGCTGACGGTACACATATGACTCTCTCTTTTAGATTGAACTGAAACAAATCAAGGTGAGTACGTGGACATCTAATACTCTAATATGCATCTAGGTTTGAAATTCCGTTCATAATTGTTATCGTGGTTGATCCATGGGATTTATCTGTGTGAATGTTGATTGTGGTTTCGGGAATTTTTGTCGTTGAATCAAAAAGGATCGTTTGCATGATGTAGGCGTTGATTGAAGAATTAATGTGCTTGATTGAATGATTTGTTATTATGAGATCATTGTTGGTGGATGCTGAAAAACAAAATAGGTGTAAATATGGAATTTCTTGTGTCAGACGGTAGGTGGGACAGTACTATGCTACCGTCTTACTCTATTACTATCAATTTAGAGGATGATAAGGTGGATGTGGCTTCCACGTATGTATGTGAAGGGGCTGCTTTGGACCTATTTTCATGCATAGATGGGCACTAAGAGAGTGTTGTTTTTGTGGGAAGATTTGGTGAAGGTGTTCCAAGAACACTATGGTCTACGAGAACATCAAAATCCAAACAAATACCTTTGTAGCATCAATCAAAGTGATACTGACATAATGTCATTGAGTATCGCTTAGAGTTTGCAAGAACGGAGTCTCAACTAAGAGATGGTCGAGCACTCTCTTCTTTGGTTTTTTAATCAACATCCTCAAGGAAGAGTTGGGTCCAAATCTAAAATAGCTTTTAGCCCAAATCCTACTTAGGACTGTGCATTAGGCTAACACTGGACTCGGAATGTGGTGGGACCGTATAAAGACTTGTGCTAGGATTGAAGACCAGACCGAATCGCCTTGAGACAAGACCAAATAAAACCTATTTCTCAATTTTACTTTTTAATCATTGATTAGTTTTGTACTCCCTCCGTCCCTCTAAGATGTTCTCATTTTGACTTTTGGTGGTTTTTAAGGAGAGTTGAAAAAAGGTGAAAGTTTACTATAATACCCTTAATGAAAATGGATGGAGTGTATTAAATGAGGTGGGTGAGGTATAACCAAAAAAGTAAGTGGGGGTAGTTGTGGTATTTTAATTGTTAAAAAATGAAATGAAAAGATCTATTGTGGATAAAGAAAAAGGGCTATTGGGAAGATCTATGGTGGACGGAGGGAGTAGTTTTCATCTAATGAAAAATTATTTTTAAAAACTAAGTTTTTGACTGCATTTTTAGGCAGTTGCACAAAAAAAATAAAATAAAATAAATGTTGTTGGTCTCCATTTGACCACTCCTTAGGCCTTATTGGTGGCAAAAGAAGAGTAATTTAAATAGCAATATAGAATGAAGCCTATAACACATATCACAATGTATAATGTAAGTAACTCATAATGCCATCAAGCGATCCAAGGTCCAATATGACAAAAGCTCAATCTTGAAAATTCATAAATTATTCATTAATGACAGCCACATGCTTTTCTACACCTTGGTTTGTACACAAAGTTCAAAACCCAAATTGCCTCGCTAGCCACAACCATGAATGTGCAAAAAGACAAACACATTGTTAAAACATTTGCACTTCTAATTAAACACATATAATCTACCATATGTCAAAATCTTGAAACTTTAGTTGTATCAATAATATATTCATGTACACTAACCTTTGTCTTGCCTCACAAAACAAATGGAAAACAACAATAAAACTACTTAGTTTTTTTTTTGTTTTTTGTTTTTTTAATCCCAGTGGCAAACCACCAAGTCTGGTGGGGTAAGGTCTAGGCAACCCTTACCGAGTTTTATTAAGATAGTAGCAAGCCACAAAGTGAGGGGAGGACTATACCAAGGCCTAACGCTAGCCCCTCATACGGAAGACAAATCTTCCGGGGATACAATAACGAATAAGGGGGGTAAGGGAACCTAGAACGGCTTGACCAAGGCCACAATAAGGTCTAAACAACAAACAAGCTAACTAAGGCTTGATCAAGACCACAATAAGATCAAAACAAACAACATAATAGTCTAGGGCTTGACCAAAGCCACAATAAGGTCTAAAACATCAAACTAACACGACAATCCAAACTCACACCAGGCCAACACAAGCATAACCACACTAAGACAATAAAGGTCATACGGAAAGGCATGGCAACACAAAGGAGTGGTAATCATCACCATTGGGAGGAATAAAACCCATCCGAGTCAACCACTCCTTACTCCACAAACCATACATACCAAGGCTAGGAAAAGATATTATAAGCGCACCCATAATATCCAAACTTCTCCATAACCCCAGTATAACTAGTAATGGTTACAAAAATCTTCAAACAACGCAAACACAATCCCCTAGACAGTAGGAAAAGGAAAGTGAGCGCACCCAAGATCCAAGTTCTCCATACCCATAGGTAGAAAGGATTGCCTAACCAGGAATTGGCAACACAACTACATGCCAATAAGAGGCTCAGGTTAGCATGAGCTAGAAGCTGAATAGCTATGAACCTGCTGAACATCATGTTGACAAAGGAGCTGACATTGTGCAGGTAGATCAAAAATACCTAAAAAATCCATACTAGAATGAAGGTGATTACAACACCATTGGACCAGATAATTAGTAACACGATTAGTATGACCATCACAAAAATCAGTAGAAGAACTGCAGCATGAAAGTAAAAAGGCCAACCTACTGATATGGTCCACAGTAAAAAGTGGGATAGAAAGATTAAGGAGTTGTAGCATCTCCTTAAAATCTGCTTCCCAATAAAGGGAAGTATACCCAGAAGTTAAACACCATTGCAGTATGATCAAGAGGATATCCATAGTGGCTCCTAGGGCTGAAGCATGTCCAACACTGCCATAAGCATACAAGAATATACCTTAGGAGTCCCTAACCACAGCACCAGTACCAAATTGATGTTCTTTGGAGAACATAGAGACATTAATTTTCACACTGTTTGGAGGAGGAAACTGCCACATCTTAGTAGGAGTCTGATAAGAACTGGACAGCTGGCCATTTAAATTGAAAATAGCCTTCCAATCAGAAATATTTTTACGGAGGTTAGGCCATTTCCTAGCTGCAGCTTCCACAGCATCCTGCCGTATTTTAAAAATAGTCCTTGCAACATTGATTTGTTTCTCCCCATATTTGATAGAAGTATAATGAACCCAAAGTTCCCAAAGAATGAAAACAGGCATACATCGTTTTAATAAAACCCTAACAGTGTACTTTTTAGGATGTGATTTAGCTCCCCACCAAACATTAAGATATTGCTTAACAGTGGATATGCCTTGTTCATTCAGACCAAACAGCCAACAGAAATATTTCCACACAGTTTTAGCCACCTCACTTTGTGCAAATACATGTTCAGTAGTCTCACAAGTGGGTTTGGTACAACATATACACTTGGAAGGGAGGACATACCCAAACTTTTGCAAAGTGGAATCCAGGGGGAGTTTCTTCAGTAAAAGTCTCCAGCCCAAAAAGGACATTTTAAAAGGAATATAAGTGTGCCAACAATTCTGTAAGTAGATATCAACATTACCACAAGGCCTTAAGAAATCTTTGACAGCCTTCATAGAGAAAACTCCATTGGATTTAGGTTGCCAGAGAGCCTGATCAGCATTATTTGAGCCAAGAGAAGAAAGATCTACTTGAAAATGAATGAAAAAACCAGGGTCCATGAGGGACTGTAAGTGGTCAAAGTTGAAAGATGAATTGATTAAGTACTCCTTGAGAGGTTGTTGTCAATATTTACCATGTGCCTGATTAGTCACCCTTGCCAATGGTCCCAATCCAGTCCAATTATCCCACCAAAAACTCAAAGAAGCATCATAAACCCTCCAGGTGATGTATGGCTCAATCCTGGATCTAACGAGAGTCATTCTTTTCCAAATATGAGATTCACCATATTGCCAAATTTAACTACTTAGTTTAATACTACATAACAAGTAAATGATTTTGCTATATACAAATTATGTTAAATTATATATGTTACTTTTTCTACCGGTTTTATTTCATCAAGTGTTTCCTCAATATCAAACTTCTTAAACGTGTTGAATCTTGACAACATGCACCATCTTTAAAAACTAAATTAGTCAAAATGTATGCAAGTATTAGAGGAAGATTAATTAGTTAACTTTCGTGAGGGGTTAAAGATGTTTGTAACACATAAAGATGATGACCATTGATACTAAATGTATACTCTTATGCAACTAAAGAAATTGGCACAACCAACAAATAATGTACCATTCAAGTAACCACGAGATATCGAGGTTAATGAGTATGCCAACAACCAAACAAATAAACTGCAACTTTTGTATCATGATCAAGTCCCTCATCCACAACTTTTAAATTATCCTTAAGTCTCTTATATACAAATTTTGAATCATCGAGGTCCTTGTCTTCAAGTAAATAAACAAGTAAACTATACATGTAGAGTATTAACAAACTAGCTAATTAACTGTTTATTAATTTAAATATCCTACTCTAACTTTTAAATTTCTAATAAGCAAAAACTCTACTGTTCTAGCTTAATTGTAAAAGAAGCAACAACTCCAATATCAAACATCTCAACAATCCCTCTACAGGATTACTTGACCCCAAACATGTCGGTTTTTCAGAAGCCAATGAATGTACTTTGATTTTATCTGAAGGCGAGAATGGTAAATATCTCGTGGCTATAATTTCTACCTTTTTAATACCTTTTTAATACCTTATTCATATTTTATCTTCATTGCTTGATGTTAGAGCTATATATATATGCTTACCTGAGGATGATATTCAAGTCACTCGATTTTTGCATTATTTAAGAGAAAAACCTTTATGTCTACTTATTAATGACCAAGAACGCTTTGGAATATTCCCTCTAAATTGCAAGCTAATAAATATCAAAGTTTGAAATCATACCAAGAGTATTCAAAATGAAAAAAAAATCAAAAATACCTTAAAATCCTTGGGTTGAAGCAAGGTGATTAGGATATTACATCATTGAGATATGACATCATGCTTTTCATGACCAATGAAGTATATTCTCTCTCTAGTTTTCTCTTAGCTGCCTAACTTCTTAATTTTGATTTAGAGACAACTTAAGTATCTTATAGTCCCTCTTTTTCTTTATGGTTTAGTATATCTATAGGATCACGGCGGATCACATATAAAGGACATATTTCTTAATATGTTTCATACATATTGACCGCATTTATTATTTCTTTAATCTTTTTTTATTTATGTTCATCACTCTGTCATTAAGGGAAATACATATAACCTACTTTGTATTTTTATGTTAACAATGATACCACCATCTTTAATTTCTTAACATAATAGTTTGTTGATATGTGTGAAACATACAAGGCTATGACTTTTTTACCTTTCAAAATTATGACAAGTAGATTATCACTAATGCCGAGGGTGATTGTAATACCATTTATTATAAAATACAATTGATTCTCTTCTCTTTCACACACACTGATGTATGTATGTATTTATGTGTGAGTGTATGTACGTTCATAGTAGGTTGATTGATTAATCACACCTTTAAAGCTAATAAAAACCCACATTATTCTTTTGTTTACTTCTTTTTCTCAGGGGTTATGTGACAGTGACTCCATTGAGATTTAAAAATATTTAAAAAATAAAGAAAAGTTGTGAAAAATGATCGTCTCTCATTCATTCAAGGAAGATAAATTTGCATTCAATCTTTTCTTCGATGAAGAAGATGAATATGATGAGAAAAAGGTGCTTCAAGAATTTCAAAGGATACATGACAACTATATTTGACTAGGTCATTTAATGATTGCTAATATCACATTTCAAATTTCTTCTTAAAAGAGTTCATACCTTTTTCATGTGCGCGCAACTGGCAATCATTTCCTCGTTGGTTGATGGTTATATGATGGCATAACGGAAAGCGTTATTCATTGCTTTGTTGATCAATTTGAAAATGTTTAGAAAAGTTTCAGATTTTGCGGGTGACAATATGATGTCTTCGATGATACATCTCTCGCAAACATGACACCTCTCTAAAATTATTCAAGTTGATCAAAAAAGCAGAAAATAACACTTTTCATGGTGTGGCTTATATTCATCAACAATCGAGGGGGTTGATTGCTGGCTACAATCATGAAACATGTACAACCTAAACTCTTTAAAGAAAAACATTTTATATGTGATATTAACCATCGTTGAATAACCTAGTTAGAGATATTCTAAATCTATGCTATGAAAATCTTGAGGCACCCTTTTTCTCGTCATACTCATATCTTCATGAAAAAGATTAAATACATAATCATCTTCATTAGGTTAACTAGAGACGAGCATTTTTCACAATTTTTCTTGTTGACTTAACTACTCTTCATTCTCGATGGAGTCACTGCCACCCAACTCATGAGAAATCGAAGTAAATGAAAAAACTGTATGAATTTTGATTAGTTTTAAAGTGTGTTAATTAACCGACGATGAGCAAATATACACACACACGTGTGTGTGTGAAAGAGCGGGAGAAGCAATTGTACCTTAGAATAAATGGTAACCCATTCACCCTCAGGATTAGTGATAATCCACTTGTCATTATTTTGAATAGTGAAAAAGGTCATAGGCTCATGTCTATCTGACATATCAATCGTCTATTAATTAAGAAATTAAAGGTTGTGGAATCATTATTAAATAAAAATACAAAATATGTTATATGTATTTACCTTAATGAGTGAGGTGATAAACATAGAAAAGAAAGAAGGTTTGAGAAGTATTAAATGTGGCCAAAATGTATTAAGGAATAAGCCCTTAATATGTGACCCATCGTGATCATATAGATATGCGAAACCATAAAAAAGAGGCTATTAGATACTTAAATTGTCTCTTAATTAAGATTAAGGAGTTGAGGAGTTAAAAAGAAAATTAAAAATAAAACATACTTGATCGATTATGATGAGAATGGTGCCATATCTCAATGATATAATATCGGAATCACCTTGCTTGAACTCAATGATATTTTTGATATTTTCATTTCAAATAATCTTTGTGTGATTAAAAGCTTTGACATTTATTAGTTTGAAGTTGGGGACAAAAATTCTAACGCGGTGTTGGTCACTAATGGGTAGACCAGAAAGGCTTTTCTAGTGAATAACGCAACAACCGGGTGACATGATTATCATCTAAGTATGCATATATAGAATATTAACATGCAGTAAAGAAGATAAAGTTTGAAAGAGAAGATAAAATATTTTTAAAAAAGGGAACAATTATTACCACACGGTATTTGCTACGTTCGCTTTCAGTAAAGATCAAAGTGCATTTGTTGGATTTTGAAGAATCGACATGTTTGGCGTCAAGTAGTCCTGTAGGTTGATTGTGGAGATGTTTGATATCGGAGTCGTTGTTTGTACTAATGTTTGCATTTAAGCTAGAGTAGAAGAGTTTTTTGCTTATTGGAAATTTGGAAGATAGAGTAGAGATTGAAATTAAAAGAGCGGTTAGTTAGTTAATTATTACTTTGAATGTATGATTTATTTGTTTGTTTACTCATACAAGTAGTCACTGAATTTTGTGATTCAAAAGTTGTAGATAAGTGACTTGAGGATGATCTAAAAGTTGCAGATCATTTGTTTGATTGGTGGGATGTTCATGGACCTCGATATCTCGTATGGGACATGATTTGTTGGTCTTGTCAGAATCTGCATTTAGTACTAGTGGTCGTCATATTGATGTGTTTCAAACATCTTTAACCCCTAAGGTAAGTTACTTTAAAAATAGATGATATTATTTATCCTATTATGATGATATTCATTATTACCTAGGCTTAGTAATTATTATTATTATTATTATTATTTATGTTACCATAGACATTATTTATTTTTATTTAGAACTATATTATTCATTTATATTACCATGTACACCTTATTTATTTACATATATAATTTATGGTATGAATACCATAAGTCATGTTACCATTTATGCGTATAAGGAAGTCCAAAAGCAATCCTTTATTAATGACACTATTTATTTATGCACACTTACCATTTGTAATGTAAAGTCATGGGCGAGAAAAAACGGTCAAAACTTCCCATGCTTTTAAATAAAGGATTGATTTCAAACAAATTTTACTATAACTAGTTAGTAATTATTGACTATGTGGGCTAGGTCGCTCAAAGCCTAAAAATACCTATACAGGCTGGGTTTGGGCTTTAGTTATTAGTCCCTCTCTACAGGCTGAGTCTAGTTTGGGCCTATAAAATTCTCTTACTTTGGTGTTTGGGCTCAGCGGGTCGGCCCCAACTGGTCAGTTTCCCTTCCATCGTATATAGCAGTCTTTCGTTTGCCATCACCATGATCTGCCCTGGTAAATTGAAGTGGTATCGACCACTGGATTAATGATGTGGATCTCGTCCAAAAAGAATATTACCCTGGCAGGCTGGCATCAAGGACAGAATATCTTTATGTTCTTCTATATAGCTTGGAAAAGAAAAGGCTTCTTTTAATTGTCGGACATACAATGGACCCATCAGAGAAAACCATCCTGGGTATATTCATTACTTTACATACATACACCAAAGTTAGGTTTGATGATGAACTTGGGATATTGTCCATTAGTGCAATATGATAATTCTACTTTTATCCTTGTAGTTTCCTAACTATTATTTTGTTAAGAACCACTGTTTCCTTTTAGGCAATTCTTCCCAGTTTCTCTAAATGTATTGCTAGTAGGAGAAGTGTTTTTGGAAACTCGTGAAGTATGTACGTTGACGGATATCGGTAAACCGTGATTTGCAAGCCTTTTCCAACTTCAACTGGCCATTAAATGTTTCGTGCAAGCTCTTCTGTCCTTGCTCCTTATCCTGCCACACTCACTTGGTCATAAATATTATTTCTGCTGAAGAGATCAGGGCTCAAGAAAGAGAAAGTCTACATAATACCAAATCTATGCCATCATTCAAATGATTTGTGATAATCTGGTTCTTTTATTAATTGTGTTTTAACCTCAATACTTAACAAAAAATCTGTCTTCAAGTTCACAGTTTCTGTCTTGTAATTTTGCAGTTTGAATGGTCATGACCTCAGCAGAGTGGGTTTTTTCATACAGGACGATTTGAGTTGCAGGCGTAACAAATGGGGATAGTTGGTTTTTTTGTTGGCGGTGGAACTGACAAAAATGATACATTGCGTTATCATTTCAATCTCACAGCTTTTGGTGACTGCTTTCTTAAGTTTAAGAATTACAATTTGTATAATTGTATTCTTTTTTCTCTTATCTTTACACTATGTTTCGTTTAAGTAATTCGGAATGAGACGAAAAGAAAATGATTTTCTCATATTTTCCTCACCAAAATGGGTGGAATTTTGTTTCCCTCCACTTAGTATATTTTGCATTCTCGTTTTCTTTTGCTTCCACATTTTTTTCCCTCCAACCAAACAAGAAAAAATATTTTCCATCTGTTTTTCTTTTATTTTTTCTTTCAAATTCCTTGAACCAGACAACATAGAATACACTTTTGTGTTTTCTTGTTCATTTCCTTGTGGTTTATTCTTGGTAGGAGCTGATACTCGCGTCCTAAACATGTCCAATTATGCATGCTCATTGGTACCAAATACAGGGAAAAACATTTCTGCTTGCATTATGGTACCTAATTGATGACTTCATTAAAAAAAGGTTGTGATTGCCATGTTTTTCATTCATTACTTGGACCAGGAATTTCGGAGCAATGCATCACTGTTGGCTACTCTTTTTTGCAGGGGTTGAGTTTGGTTTTAAGCACTTATTGTGGTGAATAGTTGCTGCTATTGTTTGGAGGAGCTAATGATTTCTGTTATAAGAATGATGTGTGATAATGCCTATTAAGAAAAAGAGTGTAATTACACAAAACTACACCAAATCTCAATTACGCATGTGGTGGTCAGAGTCCCTTGGTTATAATATTATTTTCATTAGCGGATTAGGTGTCAACATATAGATTCTACAAAAGAAAAAATATATGCAACATTCATATTGTTTCTATTCCTCTTGGTCTAGTTCTTAAAACTTGTGGTCTTTAAAAAACATACTCCCTCTGTCCACTCCACCTAAGATCTTCCCGCGTTACGAGGCTTGATCGACTTTATTTTGAATTCAATTTATTTGAATATATGGGTAAAATTTTTATAAAAAACCTATGTAGTAATAAACTACATGAAAAATTCTACAAAACTAGAGGTAACAACACTATATTAATTTATGAAATGAGTAGTAAAAATAAACAAACAAAGTGAATTAAGTTTGACCCTGTGAATGTGAATAGTGTCTGGAAAATCTATGGTGGACTGAGGGAGTATTTGTTACACACTCTCATCACATCTTTTATTGATATATAAATTGTATTTTTCCGTCCCATAGTAGTCCACGACTTCACATTTGACTCTCACCAGTGTTAAGTGAAATTGTGTGTTTGAAAGTGAGGCAGATGAGAGAAATATGTTAATCTTCTCTCTTGTTACGATGTAGTGGGAATGGTTGAGACCCAAGCAGCATGGGGAGATTCCAAGACCATGCTATGGTCATGCAGGTGCAGCAATTGGAGATGGTTTATTGTTGGTGGTGGCAATGAAAGCACTTGTAGAAATATTTCAATATTTATATATTCCTGTGATTCTATTTCTATTTATTTTAAGAATTACAGCATATATTCAATTAGCTCTTTTGTAGTTATATATTAAAATGTCTTTGGTTACTAATCTCCATCGTCTTCATTTAACACTCTTGCAACTAATGTATTTAATGCATGACTGAATCGAATGTCACTTCTTTATATCTTTGCCTTCTTTCAGATTGCTTTGAACTACGGACTGCTTTTAATTCTTTGACATACGGAGGAGCTGTCAGCGAAAACTATGTTGGGTATATCCATTAGCGTACCTTCATTGAGAGGTTTTTTCCACTAAGCTCTAAATGTATTGCTGCATTTACTACCCTGAACTTCATTGAGAAGGCATAGTTTTAAAGACTCGTGAAGATTATTTTGTTACATATATCTGCATCACATCATTTTCAAACCTTTTTCCAACAATATTTTTCCGTTGATGGAACCTTGGTTTCAGATTAGTCAAACTGCTCCTCTCGGATGCCTACCAATATCAAGTTTCTATTTTGCTATTTAACATTGTTTATGTATTCCAGGTTCTCATTATCTCGTCAATTTGTGATGCTAGTGAAAGAGTTTGATCTGGAAACAATACTTGGTAAGATTTCATGACTTCAGGAGATTTTCCGGTATGTGCCTTCCACCCTTTATACTTAGTATGTGTTTTGGATAAGAGTACAATTATTGGGCAACATAATTACCATAGTTGTGAAAAGCCTGCGTGAGGCATATAGCTTTGTATAGTAGTAGGTGTGTTCATAATCGTGAATAATTGCATCTGTAGATGTGACCCAACAAATGTTGGGAAGGTTTATCCAAAAATATTTCATAAAATAATTGATTTTATGTTCTCGGTTTCAACCATAGTTTTGAAAACCGGACCGGACCGGCCGGTTCAGACCGGGAACCGGTGAACCGTGCATCAAACCGGTCCGGTCCAGTCAATCAGACCAGCTCCAGCAATGAACCGGTGGAAACCGGTTAAAACCGGAGAAAACCGGCTGGTTTCACAACCGGAACCGGTTTTTTTTGTGAACTTCTTTAAAAAGCACAAGGCCAGGTTCGAACACAAAACCTCACGGTAGAACGGACGTTGTATCTAACCATCTCTGCTACAATGTCTTGTGTTGACTCTTTGCTATTTGTCTTTAATATCCTATAATTACAAAATTCTTTATCAAATACTTTTAAAAAGTATAGAATTTTGTTAACTAAAATTCAAAACCCATTAATATAATTGAGATGAAGTGCATATTACACAAATATTCTATTTATACACATATTTTAAATACTAAGTAAAATGTTTTTAAAAATCAAATCACTTTTTATTTATAAATTTGTTTAAATATGTAATTTTTTATGTGATGACACGACTCAAACAAATTAAGTTAATTATAAATTTAGTCAAACATCAATTATTTATTTATAAATAGAGGTAATAGTTTTTTGTTCACTCATATATTAATTTTTTAAATTCAATGCCACAACGTGTGTGTGTGTGTATATTTATTTATTTATTTATTTATTTATTAAAGATGTTTGAACCACTGGTTCAACCACTCGAACCACTGAACCAGTGCCTTGACCGGTTCGACCACCGGTTCGGTTCTGAAAACTATGGTTTCAACACATAAATTACATAAAGCAATTGGTTTTATGTTACTACATCCGTTCCCAATTTGATTACAAATTGCAGGTTACGGAGTAAAATTTCTTACTTTTTGAAATCATTTTATTTACAAATTGGTATATCAATAAGCTCTAAAAATTACATAGTAAAAAACTACGTCAAAAGTTCTACAAAACAAGAGGTGACAAGAATGTTTTATTTTATCAAATACTTGATGAAACCGCGTAAACAAACAAAAGTTATTTAGATGAGAGAAAAAAAGATTGTAATCTATTTAGGGACAGGGGAAGTATTAATACCAAAAATTCACCCCTACCCACTAGGGGAAGAGGTTTTCCAAACGACCATTGGTTTTATGTTATTGGTTTTCAAGTTATTTTTGTTATAGTTTGCAATGACAAAAAATGGTTTTTACGTGTTTGTTTTTATTTTGCAATTATAATTATTTGAAAAAAAAATCCAATAAAATAGATTTATTTTTTAATGTTTTTGGTAATTTTACAAAAAAGTTGGTATCAAAGCCTTTTTGTGGTCAATATAGTGGTCACACGCTCCTCTAATACTAACTCGAATTCGGAAGGTAAACAAAAATTCCCTTTGGTAATGATCCTTTTCAATCACTGCCTCTCGTCTCGTAGCGTTGCTTTGCAAGTAAAAGGTGATGATCCTAGAAGCTAATTCATCTTGTTGTAATAGTGGAAAAGGGGGGCAGATGTAGCAATGAGGAATATGAATTAGCTCAGCGTGCTTCAAGTCTATCACATGCAAAATTGAGTTCCCAAAATCTGCAGCAGGCGACTCGAGAGAATGGGACCTCAAAGCAGAAAAGTATTGCGGTTACTATCATTCCAGACGATTAAGGGGATGCTTTTGACCTTTTTTCATGCATAGATGAGCACTAGGAGAATGGTGTTTTATTAGGAAGATTTGGTTAAGGTATTCCCAAAATACTATGGTCCACGAGAACATCAAAATCCAATTGAATACAATTGTAGCATCAAACAGAGTGATACTGTGACTATGTACCCCTTAGAGTTTGCAAGAAGGGTGTCTCGAATTGGAAGATAGTCGAGCACTGTCTTCTTGGGGTTTTTATCGACGACCTGAAGGAAGAGTTGGGTCCAGATCTAAAACTGCTTTTAGCCCAAATTGTAGTTAGAGTTGTGCATTAAGCTAAAACCAGACTAGGACTGTATAAGGCCTTGCGTTAGGATTGAAGACCGGACTGAATTGCCTTGTGATTAGACCGAATGAGACTCGTTTCTCAATTCTATTTTCTAATCATTGATTAGATTGGCACTTTTTATCTAATGAAAATACAATTTAAATAACAAAGGTTTAGGCTACAATTCCAAGCAGTACGCACCAACAAAAATAAATGTTGACATCTCCATTTGACCACTCCATAGGCCTTATAGGCGGCAAAATAGGAGTAATTTAAATTAGAGATTCCCTCTGATAAACTGGGAGGAGGTCTGCAGTCCTAAGCAAGAAGGGGGATTGGGGTTGAAGAACCATCAGGTATGGAATAAAGCTTGCGTTATGAAGTTGGTTTGGGACATAGCATCCAAGAAAGATATTTTGTGGGTTAAATGGGTACATAGTAGATATCTGAAGAGGAAAACTATTTGGACTTATGAATGTAAGCCTGATGACTGTTATTATTGGAAGAAAATGATCCAGATCAGAAAAGATTTTGATGGAATGATCATAGACCAGGGGTATACCGTCAAGGAAGGATACAAATGGCTTACTGGATCCCAAACTAATGTGATTTGGGCTGATCTGGTTTGGAATAGATTCTCCATACCTAAACATCAATTTATAGCATGGCTGATTTGGAAGGGTAGAATACTTACTAAGGACAGGCTAAGTAGGTTTTTACCAATTGATACAATCTGTAGCCTATGCAACAAGATGGATGAGACTGCTGACCATCTCTTTTGCAGCTGTCCTTTTGCAAAGTATATTTTCCAGCATATGTCTATGNGTCAAGGAAGGATACAAATGGCTTACTGGATCCCAAACTAATGTGATTTGGGCTGATCTGGTTTGGAATAGATTCTCCATACCTAAACATCAATTTATAGCATGGCTGATTTGGAAGGGTAGAATACTTACTAAGGACAGGCTAAGTAGGTTTTTACCAATTGATACAATCTGTAGCCTATGCAACAAGATGGATGAGACTGCTGACCATCTCTTTTGCAGCTGTCCTTTTGCAAAGTATATTTTCCAGCATATGTCTATGATTATCCAGTATGACATGGAAGCTAATTCCATTGCTGAGCAGAGAATGAATAAGGGAAAAAACAGAAGAGACAGGAGGGCAATTGCTGCTTGTGTTGTTACTTGTTGTTACTTCATTTGGAAAGCTAGAAACTCCAAGCTTCACAACAAGGAGATGACTGTGGTGGACACGCTGAAGACTATCAAAGAACACTTCAATATTATTATGGGTAACTAGTCTATGTTGTTCACGTTGTATGCTGGTTTTAGGTGCTGGTTCTTGTTATTGTGTGTTTCGTTTTTGTTGTACTGGAAACTGTTCTTTGGAGTTAATATAATTTTGTGCTTTGTTCAAAAAAAAAGGAGTAATTTAAATTATTAGGGGAAAAGTATTCCAGGTTTTCCATCCTCATTCAACACAAAATAACAATACTGAGTCAAGCGTATAACACATATCACAATGTATAATGTAAATTACTCATAATGCCATCAAGTGATCAAAGGCCCAATAAGACAAGATCAATCTTGAAAATGCATAAATTATTCATTTATGAAAGTTGCCCACTTTTCTACACCTTGGTTTGTACACAAATTTACGAATCCGAATTGCCCCGCAGCCACAACCATGAATATGCAAAAAGAAAAACATTGTTAACACTTATGCACTTCTAAGGGGGTGTTTGTTTTTCTGCCAGAAGACCTTCTGGCGTCTTTTGTCTGCGCCGCGCAGACGCGTGCAGATGATGGGCTCTGCAGATTGTTTTTTGGAAGACATTTCACTCAAAAAGGTCTTCCTGGCATCTTCTTGGAGAAGACATTAACCAATGTCTTCTAACATCTTCTCCTTTTTTTTCTGCTTCTCTTCACCACCACAACCGTCCACCGCCACCGTCCACCACTACCACCGTCCACCATCACCGTCACCGTCCATCACCATCGTCGTCCACCACCACCGCCACCACCACCACCGTCCACCACCACCGCCGTCAACGTCCACCACCACCCTTCACCACCACCCTCCACCACCACCACAATCGTCCATACACCACCACTGTACATTACTACCATTAATTTATATAGCAATCTACAGACATTAAAAAACAGTCTTCTTCTTGCAGACTGCAGACCTTCGGTCCACCACTTCTCCTGCAGATGTCTACAGTAGTGGTCCGCAGACTGCAGACCTTTTCCTGCAGAAAAAACAAACACCCCCTAATTAAATACATATAAAGGTAATCTAGCGCACTACAAGGCAAATATATAATGAGCATGTAATGTACCATATGTTAAAACCTTGAAACATTAGTTTTATTAATAATGTATTCATGTACACTCAAGTTCACCGTGTCTTGCAAAACACATCGAAAACAACAATAAAACTACTTAGTTTAATACTACATAACAAGTAAAAGATTTTTCTATAAAAAAATTATATTAAATTATAAATGCTACATTTTTCAACCGATTTTATTTCATCAAGTGTTTCTAAATATCAATCTTCTTAAACGTCTTGAGTCTTGACAACATATCAATGCTTGCACCATCTTTAAAAACTAAATTAGTCAAAATGTAAGTGTTAGTGGAAGATTAACTTGTTAACTTACCTAAAGGTTTAAATATGTTTGAAATGCATCAAGATGAAAACCACTAATACTTAATGCATACTCTGATGCAACTAAAGAAACTGGCAAAACTGACAAATAACGTGCCATACGTGCTATCATGGGATATTGAGGTCCATGAACATGTCACCAACCAAACAAATGATGTGCGACTTTTGAATCATCATCAAGTTCCTAATCTACAAGTTTTGAAACATTGTCTAGTCCTTTATTTTCAACTTTTAAATCATCAAGGTTTATGATTACTTCTTGTCTTCAAATAAATAAAAAATAAAGCATACATACAGAGTAGTAACAAACTAACTAATTAACTATTTCTTTAATTTTAATCTCTACTCCAACTTCCAAATCTGCAATAAGCTAAAAACTCTAGTGCGCTAGCAAAATGCTAAGACGAGTGCAAGTGATGACCACAATATCAAGCATCTCAACAATCTATCTATAGATAACATGACATCAAACATTTCGGTTCTTCAAAATTCAACGAATGCTTTTTAATCTTTACTAAAGGCGAGAACGAAAAACACCTTGTGGTTATAATTAATACCTTTTTAAAAATCTTTTATCTTCTCTTCTTTTTCAAACTTTATCTTCATTACTTCATGTTAGTGCTCTATATATGCATATCTAAGGATGAATTTCATGTCACCTGGTTATTGCATTATTTAGGAGAACAACCATATGTCTACCTATTATTGACCAACAAAGCTTTGGAATGTTCTCTCTCAATTGCAAGCTAATAAATGTCAAAAATTCAAATCACATTAAGAGTATCCTAAATGAAAAAAAAATCAAAAATACTTTAAAATCCTTGGGTTGAAGCAAGGTGATTCCGGTATTACATCATTGAGATATGACTTCATTTTTATCATGACCGATCAAGTATGTTCTCCGTTTAATTTTTCTTTTAGCTCTTCAACTTCTTAGTTTTGAAGTAGAGACACTTTAAGTATCTTATAGCTTATCTTTTTTTATGGTTTAGTGTATCTATAGGATCATGACGGATCACATATAAAGGGCTTATTCCTTAATATCTTCCATACATTTTGCCCGCATTTAATACTTTTCAAACCTATTTTCTTTTTTATGCTTATCACTTTCTTATTAAGGGAAAATACATATAACAGACTTTGCATTTTTATGTTAACAATGATACCACCACCTTTAATTTCTTACCCTAGTAGTTTGTTAATATGTTTGAACACCATTTACTATAAAATATAATTGATTCTCTTCTCTTTTGTCATACACACACTCATGTATGTATGTATTTATATGTGTGTGTGTGTGTTCGCTCACTGTTGGTTGATTCATCACACCTTTAAAGCTAATCAAAACTCACATTATTCTTTTGTTTACTTCGTTTCCTCTGGTGTTAGGTAACAGTGACTCCTTCAAGGGTTAAAAATATTTAAGAAATCAAGATAAGTTGTGAAAAGTGATCACCTTTTGTTCACTCAAGGAAGATTTTGCATATATATGGAGAGAAAAAGGTGTTTCAAGATTTTCATAAGATGCATAACAACTATATCCTACTAGGTCATCCGATGATTCTTAATATCACATATCAGATTTTTTCTTAAAAGAATTTATACATTTTTCATGTGCGCATAACTGGCAATTAATCCCTCATTGGTTGATTGTTATATGACGGCACAACAAAATCGCTTTGTTGATAAATTTGAATTTTTTTAGAAAAATATCTGATTTTATGGGTGACAACATGATATGGATGATACATCTATCGTGAACATGACACCTTTTTAAAACTATTTAAATAGATCAAAAAGTAGGGAATAACACTTTTCATTATGTTGGCATATATTCATGAACAATCGAGAGGATTGATTGCCGGCAACGCACATGAAACATGTACGAACTGTTTGAAGAAAACATCGTATTTGTGATATTAACCATCATTGAATTACCTACTTTGAGATATTTGTCATCCCTGCTATGAAAATCTTGAGGTACCCTTTTTCAAGCCATACTCATATCTTCATCAAAGAAAAGTTTAAATACGTAATCATCTTCATTACGTTAATTAGAGAGGAGCATTTTTCGCAATTTTTCTTGATGACTTAAATACTCTTAACCTTCGATGGAGTCACAGCCACCCAACTTCTGAGAAAAACGATGTAAACCGGAAAAATTATATGAGTTTTGATTAGTTTCGAAGTGTAATTAATCAACCGACGATGCACAAAAAAATATATATACCCACACACAGTCACACACAGACATACATACATGTGTGTCAAAGAGGTGGAGAAGCAATTGTACCTTAGAATAAATGGTGTTTCATTCACACTCGGGATTAGTGATAATCCAATTGTCATGATTTTGAAAGGTGAAAAAAGTTATAGGCGTATGTGTATCGGACATGTCAATCGTCTATTAAGGTAAGAAATTAAAAGTTGTGGAATCATTGTTACATAAAAATATAATATATGTTATATGTATTTACCTTAATGAGTAGGACAATAAACAGAGAAAAGAACGAAGGTTTAAGAAGTAATAAATGCAGCTAAACTGTATGTAAGTTCCTAAGGAGTAAGCCCTTAATATGTGACCCCGTCGTGATCATATAGATATACCAAACCACATAAAAAGAGAGACTACTAAGTACTTAAATTGTCTCTAAATTAAAACTAAGGAGTTAAGGAGTTAAAAAGAAAATTAAAGAGAGAACATATTTGATCGATCATGATGAGAATCAAGTCATATATCAATGATGTAATATTGGAATCACCTTGCACGAATCCAAGGATATTTTTGATTTTTTCATTTCGAATAATCTTGGTGTAGTTTGAAGTTTTGAAATTTATTGGCTTGAAGTTGGGGGCAAAGATTGCAAAGCGGTGTTGGTCACTAATAGGTAGACCAAAAAGGTTGTTCTCCTAAATAACGCAACAACCAAATGACATTAATATCATATTCAAGTATGCATATATAGAACACTAACATGAAGTAAGGAAGATAGAGTTTGAATAAGAAGATAAAAGATTTTAAAAAGGTAGCAATTATTACCACAAGTTTTTTGCCGCTTTCTCCTTCGGTAAAGATCAAAGTGCATTCGTTGGATTTTGAAGAACTTTCATGTTTGGTGTCAAATAGTCTTGTAGGTGGTGTTGAGATGTTTGATATCAGAGTTGTCGCTTGGACTCATGTTGGCATTTAGCTGGAGAGTTGTCGCTTGGACTCATGTTGACATTTAGCTAGAGCAGTAGAGGTTTTTTGCTTATTGGAGATTTAAACGTTAGAGTAGAGATTAAAATTTATTTAAAAAGCAGTTAGTTAGTTAATTAATACTCTGAATGTATGGTTTATTTGTTTGATTACTTGAAGACAAGATCTCATCATGGACCTCGATGATTCAAAAGTTGTAGATGAAGAACTTAAGGATGATTCAGATGTTGTAGATGAGTGACTTGAGGATGATCCATACATTGCAGATCATTAGTTTGGTTGGTGGCATGTTCATGGACCTCCCTATCCCGTGGGTTTCTCGTACCGCACGTGATTTGTTGGTTGTTCCATAGTCTGCATTTAGTGTCGGTGGTCGTCATCTTGATGCATTTCAAACATCTTTAACCCCTGAGGTAAGTTACTTTAAACGCAAGTGATATTATTTATACTATTATGTTGATATTCATTATTACCCTAGTACAGTAATTATTATTGTTATTTATTTACGTTACCCTAAACACATTATTTATTTTTATCTAGAACTATATTATCCATTTATGTTACCATATACACATTATTTATTTCCAACAATTTATGGTAGGAATATCATTAATTATGTTACCATTTGTTTATATTACCTTAAACGTAAATAATATTATTTATACTATTCTGTTGATATTCATTACTACCCGTTCGTTATTATTATTATTATTATTATTTATTCGTGTTTACGTGTAGTAAAAGAACCCAACAAAATGAACCCAAAGTAATTCTCATGATAATAAAGTAATTTACATATAAGGAAGTGAGAATATATTCCTTGTTTATATTATTTAGGAGTATATCATTTATTTATGTTACTATATACATATTATTTATTTAGATACTCCGTATTTTTTATGGTAAGAATACCATAATTTATGTTACCATTTATGCGTATAGGCATGGTAGTCAAACTCGCGAGTTGACTCGTATGAGTCTAAGATTTTGAGGATCGCCGGTACCTTACCGATCCGAGATGGCTGCAGAATCGCGAATTCCATGGAATCGTCTGGATCGACAAATTCAACTCGCATAAATGCAGGATCGGGTTCAATCGCCGAGTCTGCGAAGCCCAAACAGTGTCTCTTCAAAATCTCCTTCCAATAGCGTCTCGAATTGCAATTGGAAAGTCGCATATGTTGCGACTCCCAATTCCGATCGGAAACAGAGTATCTCCCTTTATTTATTCCCAATTTCAATAGGAAAGCACCGTATCTTCTTCTATTTATTTATTTCAATAGGAAATCAACTTAGTTTCTCCCTTTATTTATCTCCCTTTGTTTCGATCGGAAACAGAGTATTCTTCTATTTATTTGGGAATCGAGACCTCTCTGCTTATCAGCCTTCCTTCAGTTTTTTTTCTCTTGCTAAGAATAAAGTTTTAAGTTATTTATTAAGAATTTGTTATATTATTTTATTGATATTCATCGTTACTCGTTATTTATTTACATTTTATTCGTTACCATATTATTTATTTATGTCACCATATACATATTATTCATTTACATATAATTTAGGATATGAATACCATAAATTTTGTTACCATTTATGCATATAAGGAATCAATCCTTAATTTATATATGACACTATATCTATTTATGCACACTTATCATTTGTAATGTAAAGTCATGGGTGGGAAACATGGGTTCCCCTATTAGTCTCAGGGAGACAACCTGAATGTAGGGGTGGACGCGGTCCGTGATGGTCCGTGACACTACCGGAACTTATCACGGACCGCTATTATTTAAACGGTTTGGTATCGGTACGGGATGAACTCTAAAACCATTCGGTACCATTCCGTTTTGAAACGGAACGGTACAATACCATACCCATGCTCAAACCGTGCCAAAAAAATGAGCGTACATTACGTAAAGAATATTGAATTTAATGTATAAATATGTATAAAAAAGCACAAGAATGTTAAATAAAAGTATTGATCTCGAATTTAAACGAAACATAAACATAAAGAAATAGAAGATAACGAGTCCAAAGTTAAAAAATAATTTTTTTTCCAATTCATATAATATCGGAATACTAATAACTACAAAAAATAATGCTAATAGTAATAATAAATGTAATAACAACAATAATAACCAGAGAGTTTATAAATGAATAATAAAATACGAATTACTCTATACACGGTAAGATGAAGTAGACACATACTCCATAATTATTTGAGATATGTACTCCATATATAGCGTTGGCGGTTCGGTCTGTGATAATTGGTTTTAAATATTTGTATCACGGTCCCGTCCCATTTGGTATCGGTTCGGTTTCGGTTCGTGATGAAAAAATCAATTCCGTTTGAAAACACTATAAACGGTTCTGTTAAAAGAGTATCCCACATCGGAACTTGGAGAGAATATAAACCGGTATATAAGCCCTTGAGTTGAACTAACTAATAGATTGGATTCAATCTTTTAATCTGGTTTAACTCGAGTGTCTTATTGCCCAATCTAGTTGTCCATACCCCATCCTAAATTCTATCATGGTATCAGAGCAGGTTTTTGCCTACCTCGTTTGTCAAGGTGTCCGTCTAGACGTTCATTCCTAGCGGCCCGTTTGTCTTTAGCCCAGTTGTCCGTATGGAGTGTGTACCCAACGGCCTGTGGCCTGTTTAACACGATTGCTCGTCTGGAAGTCCATACCCAGCGGCTCGTGGTCTTTAGGTGTTGGCGCTCAAAAAAAAAAAGTCAAGGGAATGGGAGTTCATTTGCAAGTGGTCAACCGGTTAGATTCAAAATGGCCCGGTTGTCCACTTGAGGGGGAGTGTTAAAAGAGTATCCCACATCGGAACTTGGAGAGAATATAAACTGGTATATAAGTCCTTGAGTTGAACTAACTAATAGATTGGATTCAATCTTTGAATCTGGTTTAACTCGAGTGTCTTATTGCCTAATCTAGTTGTCCATACCCCATCCTAAATTCTATCAGGTTCGGTACCATTACGGTTCGGTATGGTACCATGCTAATTCGGTTTTTTTGCCCACCCCTACCTGAATGACGAGCTTGGGTACTTAAATACTTGCCATTTCCACTAGCATGCTGTTGGCTTTTTTTTCCAACAAAGTATCGATCTTTATTTGGCTCCACCTGAATTCAATTGCATTGCGTTGAATTTTCTTGGGCCTTGTATGAATTATTTGCTTGCAGCATGGAACAGCAGTAATGTGAGATAAACTGTACATCTATGGGGTAAGAAGCTGGGATCATAGTTTCCTAAGTGATCTTCATGTAAGCAGGTGGATTAGTCGGGTGTTTTCTGTCTGATATCCATCAGGACTAAAACCAAACTATTGTAGGTGCTTGATTTGAACTCTTGGACTTGGCATAAGCTCATTGGCACTGATTCGGGAGAAAAAGCATGTGAAAGCAAGTCGCAGTGAATATTTAATGAAAGCCCATTCATTGGTAAGTAAAATCCAACGTCTTCCAGACAGATCTATTTAATAAGTGGCTGAATATCTTTGTGTTCTTCTAGATAGCTTGGAAGGAAAGGCTTCTTTTAATTGTCAGACATACAATGGACCCATCAGAGAAAACCATCTTGGGTATATGTATCACTTTATATACATACACTAAAGAAAGTTTGATGACAAACCTAAAATATTGTCCATAACTGCAATACGATAATTCTACTTTTATCCTTGTAGTTTCCGAATCTTACTATATATTTTCATTAGAACCACTTTTTCCTTTTATCCTCATGAAGTATGTACTTAGACAGATATCGGAAAACCATGGTTTGCAAGCCTTTTCCAACTTCAACTGGCCATTAAATGTTTCTTGGTTTCGGATTTATTAAACTGCTAATCTGTCTGGAATATAAGCCCTTAAATTTCAACTTTCTGAGATGCACCTGTATGGATCTTCTGTCCTTGCCTAATGTTCTTGCTCCTTATCTTGCCACACTCACTTGGTTATAATAATTATTTCAGCTGAAGAGATTAGGGCTCAACACAGAAGAAAGTCTACATAATACCGAATCTATACCATCATTCAAATGGTTTGAAATAATCTGTTTGGTACATGAAATTGACAGAATTAGAATTGAATTGGAAATTGAAATTCCATTCATTTATTTCCTCATCATGAGAGATTTGTAATGTTTTCTTTGTTCAGGAATCAGGAAGCATCCTCCATCACCAAGAGCCAATCATGCTGCCGCATTACATAAGGAGCAATGTTGTCTAATCTTTGGTGGTCTTTCCCGCTATATATGGGTTGGTGAGCTCTATGTTGATCTTGAAAATGTATGTGCACCTCATTTAGTATTTACAGAATGTAGTTTCCACTCAAATATTTGGGGAAAATTAAAATTGGCATTAGAACTGTATATCATTACCTTGTAATATGCATACACCAAAAAATCAAAGATAATGTTAGTTTTGTTCATAGAAGAATCAAGAATGCATTGCACCTTTCTAGTAGGGAAACAAACTTTCTCAAGACCACTCGCATATCACCTTCAAATTCTAAAAAAAGAACCTCTTATCAAACAATGATATCCTCCTATTCTTAAGAGGGGAACTTTTCACCAAAAGTGTTCCCGCACATGTGCAAACATTTATGAACCGTTGATGTTGGATGATTAGAATGATCAATGGATGTAGATTATACAATTTAATGGCACGAACCGGTAAGAATCGGGTGGAACCGGTCCGGTTTAACCGGCGATCAATTTTTTTTGCACAAATGTCTCAAAAATTGTTACTAATAGGTTTCGAACACACGTATATATTACATACTTAAAAATAAACAATTATACATATTCTAAACAGACTTTTTTTATGTTTAAAAATTTTAAAAATATAATGTTGAAATTGTGATTCAAATTCTAAAATATTGATGCAGTTGATTCTAATATGAACTTCATATCACAAAACTATTAACTCATTTAATTATTTTAAAAGTATTGTGTAAATTATAAAATAAAAAATATAACCTCTTATTTTATAGTAATTTTTTATTTGTTTAAATAAATAACTATATATATATATATTTATATTGAATTTTTAAATATGCGTGTTCGACCATTTGAACCACCGGTCTGACCAGTGAACTAGTACCTTGACCGGCTTGGTCCCCTATCCGGTTCTGGAAACTATGCTCTAAAGTACCATCTTCTTTACTATTTTGATATTCTGATAAGTTTTGTTTGCATATGCTTTTTTATGATATAATTAATAAAAGAAAATATTCTTATTGCCAAAGATGGTAATTTCCCATCCTCAAATTTAACGTCTTAGTTTTACTTCATAGGTTTTAAGCCAAATAAAAGTTAATAGAAAAGGAGAGAGATTGAAAAAATGATTTAAAAGATGGAAAATGTTGAGTTAAAATGGAGAGTGAAAAAGTGATTGATAAGATGAAAAATATTGAGTTGAAAAGGAGAGTGTGTGTGAATGGTGATTTTGTAAAGTAAATGTATTTAGAGCACCTTCCTTTTAAGATTAAACTCTTAAATTAAATTTTTTTCATTTCCTCCCAATTTTTTCATTTTCTTTCAATTTTGTTAGTTCTTCGTGTTCTTTCAATTTTTTCTTGATTTCTCTAGTTTCTTCATCTCCTTTCATTTTTTCCGAACTATTACTCCATCCTAAAAGTAACTATATATTTAAATATTCACGGTCTTCAATAGAACATTTTGATAATTACTATTTCTATTTTTATATTAATTATAAAAATAAAAAATTTTAAAATTATGTTTCAAAATGAATTTATTGAAATTAAATTTATATGATAATTTAAAGTATTTTTTCGTAATATGCAGTCAAAGTTAAAAAAATTGACCACAAAAGTCAAATTGAGAAGTTAGTTTTAGGCGGAGGGAGTTATAATTTCTTCAAAATCTTTTTAGTTTCTCTGAACAATGACTCAAATAATCATCCAAAAATTCCTCATACATGTAATCAGATGCTAACCATACATTTTTTATTATGTTTACACTATGACTTTTTTATTACATTTCATTAAATACATTTTTTTGCCAAGATTAAACACATTTAATGTTTTGTAAAAAATATTTGTTCATCAAATTTTGAAAAAAAAAGCTGTTAAAGTACTACTTGTATGTATCTTCCACACTATTCGTTAAAGTGTTAAAGTACTCAGTAAAAGTTAAAGGCCTTGTTTGGAAAATAGTAGTTGGCTGTTGGCTGTTGGCTGTTTGTGTTGGCAGGTTTGAATAGCTGTTTGAGTTGGCTGTTTTGACTGGCTGATTGTATTGGCTGTTACGAAAAAAACGTTTGGCAAACTTAGCTGGTCATAATTAGCTGTTGCGAATGAAATTACCTTTAAGGACATACTACATACTCTATTTTTTAATGTGTGTGTGTGTCTATATATATACACACACACACACACACATATATATATATATATTTATATATAAAATTTATTTTTATATATACATAATTTTTTTCATTTATTACTTTTAGGTAACTTAAATTTTTGTATACATTTTACTTTTTTTTATATCATTTTGGGTACCCATTATATTCTTTACTCGGTATGGAGTATTTTTTCACTCAATTCTTTCCAACTTTTTCTCAAACTTTTACCTACACCGTCTTTTTTCTCCATAAATGACATCCTTATCTCACTTCGAGGCGTCTTTATTTTATTTCTTTTTGTTTATTTTTCATTCTTGTTTCTTATATATTGTGAATATCAATTGCACTGAATCTTTATAATTTTTTTCTCTATGGCACGATGCTTAGATCTAGGAGAAGACATCATATTTTTTCCATAGTAATTTAGATTGAGTCTTGAGAACCTGGCTTTGAAGAAAGACAAACAACATAGTAAAGCTGCTGATTTTTTTGAAGGATCAAAGCAGTTTTTTCTTTGTGTATAACGAAGATGCTGTTTTTAATTTTAATAAACAAAGATACTTATTTAAAGGAAAATACTTGAAAAAGGGCACTAAAGGAAAAGAATGAACTGCCGAACATAAACACTCATCTTCTTGGCATTTTGATATTGGACCGATGACCAGGGATCGAGTCCCGCAAGCGGCAGTGTGGGAGCTATCCAAAAATCCCATAAAGGGTGAGGAGGCTCCTTGTGCGCGGTGGACACGGGTCTAGCGTTCTTGGCCGACTGAGTCACCATGATTTACTTCCTCCACCATTCCTGTCGGGCAAGGGGGTGGGGGCGCCTGGGGTGGACGATTCCACCTTGGACCGATGAATCTTGGCTGTTCATACCAAGCTGCTAAACAAAGAAGCCATTATCCAAACACTTAAATTAGCTGTTTGACTATTCAAAACAGCCAAGTATAGTCAAAGAAGCCAATCTTGAGCCGAAATGCCATTTTCCAAACGGAGTCAAAGTGCCAAAATCTAAAAAAACAATGAATTCAAAATCTAATTACTCCTCTCTCACCTACCGTCTCGCTGGGCTCATCTTTTAACACTCAACTTACCACTCATCCTCATTTCATCGACCTACCACCCAAAGCCCCTTCTCGATGTCCCCTCTCTGTCTAGGGTTTTTTCTCAGCGAACGGACTACGAAGAAGGGGAGGTTTCTCCAGGTTGCCTCGCCATCTTTGTTTCAAATGCCGGAATGCTAAACCATTGACGGCGGTTAGCTTTCTTCCAAATTTTATAATGAACTATATCTAGATTTGGTGATTTTATACCTACCTACTCTTCCTTATCATGTGGCCAAGCAATTTCTCGATCTATAATAAAATATATCTAGATGTGGTGATCTTATACCTACCTACTCCTCTTCCTTATCTGTGTGGCCAACCAATTTCTTGATCTATTATTTTTCTTTTGTATTTTTTTTCAATAGTCCCAATTTTTTTTAGTTTTTCCTTAGATGTGCAAGTCCATATGGAGATCTACAGATGTTTGAAGTCATGTGTGATGAGTGTTTCATTAGATCTGCAAGTTCACATGCAGCTCTAGAGATGTTTGAAGTGTGTAATTTTGTTTCATGTGTATTTTCCATTTTTTCTCTATAATGGTGAAAGTAATATTAGACCTTTGAATATATGTTTAGAAATTTTATACTCTGTAATGTTTTTAGAAATTTGTGATTTAAAGAGATAAAACTTTCACATGCAGATCATGATAATAAATCTATGAACTGTATTTGTTTTACATGTAAACACAGAGCTATTATATTTTTTCTTTTTTTGATGTACAAATTTCTCAAACTAATCTTATTTTCCTCAAGTCTGCCCCTGAATCTTATTTTCCTCAAATTAGCAAATTAATCTTATTGTGGTTTTCCTCAAAATATGAATTTTCTGGCTCCGCCCTGAATACATCCTTATAGACAAACACACATGGATAAATATGGGTATATATGATTACACATGGAAAAACACTCACCCTGCGATTTGGGAAGAGGAGCATGTTTTTGGCAGAATTAATTTTTGAAATGATGCCATGTTTTAGAAAACTATTTTTTTGTTGTTGATTTACAATTCAAAGAATATATATAGACCTCAGCAGAGTGGGTTTTGTAAATATATATAGACCTCAGTTGCAGTTTTCACAGTTTCCGTCTTGTAATTTTGCAGCTTGAATGGTCAAGACCTCATGTGGTGTAATTACACAAAACTACACCAAATCTCAATTACACATGTGGTGTCCACAGTCCCTTGGGTATAATAATATTTTCATTAGCAGGTTAGGTGTCAACATATAGATTCTACGAAAGGAAAAATATATGTGACATTCATATTATTTCTATTTTTCCTGGCTTAGTGCTTAAAACTTGTGGTCTTTAAAAAACATATTTATTACACACTCTCATCACATCTTTTGTTGATATATAAATTGTATTTTTCCGTCCCATAGTAGTCCACGACTTCACATTTTACTCTCACCAATGTTAAGTGAAATTATGTGGTTGAAAGTGAGGTAGAGGAGGGAAATAATATGAATCGCAAAAAGTTTTTGAAAAATGGAAAGTGGAGTATTTTTTGGGATTTCTGAAAAAGGAAATGACTACTGTTTCAGGATAGAGGCCAGACTTTACTCTTCTTGGGATTCTACTCGGTTGTTTGTTGTTTTTCGGGATAGAGGGAGTAACTTTTTTTTTTTGAACAAACGTACTAATATATTCCACTCCCAAGAAAATATTTAGTACAAGACCAATACTATCATCAAATTAGTTACATTTTCTTTTTGTAGTCTATATAACTATGAAGGGTAAACTTAATGAATTCAATGGTGTTCTGCTCCGTGATGTTCTTCTGATGAATAATCCCATTCCCCGCCCTCCATATGCCATAACATCCTATCGCCCAAGCTGCGATAACCTCCCCGCGAAGTGTACATCTCACCCTCGTGTTAATCATCTCACCAAATTCCATAATGCTGTGTTGATCATACCGTAGGTTGTAAGGTTGCAATACAGAATTTAACACCCTTCTAGCATACTCACATTCAACAAACAGATGATTGCTGTCCTCCAAATCACCCCCACATAGTACACAGTCAGTGTTAGTAGAGCACCATTTAGTCATTCTAACCTTGGTTAAAAGTCTGTCTTGCATTAATAGCCAGAATATAAACTGCACTTTGGGAGGGTTGCTTTGTTCCACACCCAGTTAGCCCATCCAACCCTCTGGAGTTCACCCTGAAGCCACTCATAGCCTTTTTTCACCTCAAACTCCCCAACTAGCTGCATTTCCCTAAATTTATCCCTCACCCTTACCATTTGTCTCCAATAATGGCAAGAGCTGGGCTTAGGGATATAATCCCAGTAACTTTTGAAATTTAACTGCATGGATAAACACAAGTTTTGAGATTCTTCTATCATCTCTATTTACATTGGAGGGTGAGGGTAGCAATGGTTTGATCTTCTATGTTTTTATCATAACATGGCTGTAATATCATCCTTGTACAGAGGAGTTCCTCCAGCACCCAGGGACGATCATGCTGCTACTTTTCATACTACTCATCGCGAGCTTCTTATTTTTGGGGGTCATAATTCATAAATACTTTGAGTTCTTTAATGATCTCCATCTTTTAAATTTTGATATGGTAGTGCACCTCTTAGCTTCAATTGTTTTCCCTAGTTACACGTGTTCGCAATTTAATCTTTTCTCTTGTTACGATGTAGTGGGAATGGTTGAGACCCAAGCAGCATGTGGAGATTCCAGGACCATGCTATGGTCATGCAGGTGCAACAATTGGAGATCGTTGGTTTATTGTTGGTGGTGGCAATGAAAGTGCTTGTAGAAATATTTCAATATTTATATATTCCGGTGATTTTCTTTCTAATTATATAAAGAATTACAGCATATATTCAATTAGCACTTATTTAGTTATATATTAAGATGTCACTGGTTAGTAATCTCCATCGTCTTCAATTAACAGTCTTGCAACTAATGTATTTAATGCATGACTGAATTGAATGTCACTTCTTCTTTATTGACGTGATTATATCTTTGCATTCTTTCAGATTGCTTTGAACTACGGACTGCTTTTAATTCTTTGACATACGGAGGAGCTGTCAGCGAAAACTATGTTGGGTATATCCATTAGCGCACCTTCATTAAGAGGTTTTTTCCACTAAGCTCTAAATGTATTGCTGCATTTACTACCCTGAACTTCGTTGAGAAGGCATATTTTTCAAACCTTTTTCCAACTATATTTGGCCTTTGATGGAACCATTGTTTTAGATTAGTCTATCTGCTCCTCTTGGATGCCTACTAATATCAAGTTTCTCATTTGCTTTTCAACATTGTTTATGTATTCCAGATTCTCATTATCTCGTCAATTTGTGATGCTAGTGAAAGAGCTTGATCTGGAAACAATACTTGGTAAGATTTCATGACTTCAAGAGATATTCCGGTATGTGCCTTCCACCCTTTATATTTAGTATGTGTTTTGTATAAGAGTACAATTATTGGGAAGCATAATTACCATAGTTGTGAAAAGCCTGTGTGAGGCATATAGCTTTGTACAGGAGGTGTGTTCATAATCGTGAATCATTGCATTTGTCGATGTGACCCAACAAATGTTGGGAAGGGTTTTCCAAAAATATTTCATAAAATAATTGATTTTATGTTCTCGGTTTGAACACATAAATTACATAAAATAATTGGTTTTATGTTATTGGTTTTCAAGTTTTTTTGTTTTATTTTGGAATGACAAAAAATGGATTTTACGTGTTTGGTTTTATTTTGCAATTATAATTATTTGGAAAAAAATAATCCAATAAAATAGTTTTATTTTTTAATGTTTTTGGTATTTTTACAAAAAAGTTGTCACTAATTTTTATTTTTAGAAAAAAATGTTATAGGTTGCATATGTCTACTTTCATTGGGTGGTTTGAGTTGGGAGGTTGGAATTCAAAGACTTCCCTCCAGACTTTCCCCACTTTCTGCCCACCGCCCACCCAATCGTGAAGTCTAGAGAAGAGAGTCTTAAGACTCTCCTTCACGCTCTGTAAGGACTCCCTCCTGCTCCCTCAGGACTTCCATTGGAGATGCTCTTACAAAACTAACTAAAAATTCAAAAGTGAAATTAGGGAGGGGTTTGAAATGCATAGCAATAAAGCAAAATAGATGGCAGTAAGGAGACATAGGTGAAGTAGTTAGTAGACAACATGTACAATAAATAAGACAATATTGTTTTAGCACAATAATAATGCTGAAATTTTATATAATGGACATGTATTGTTTCCATATGTTAAAACCTTGAAACATTAGTTTTATCAATAATATATTCATGTACTCTCAAGTTCATCGTGTCTTGCTAAACAAATGGAAAACAACAATAAAACTACTTAGTTTAAAACTACATAACAAGTTAATGTACGAGACTATTTTCAAGACACCATCTCAAACAACACAGAGACAACTAGTCATTAGCAAAAAGAATCTCAAGCAACAAAAAGACAACTAGCACCTTAGCAAAATGATTGATTGATTTGAAAAATAAAAAAAATATTTATCAAAAATAGGAAAAGAGCGAATTACACTTATAAAAATAAAGAAGTGCTTAAATGAAATGAAAGCATACAGATAGAATTTAAAATGGGGTATGGACGACTAGATTGGGTAATAAGACACTTGAGTTGAACAACATTAAAAGATTGAATCGAATCGATTAGTTAATTCAACTCAAGAGCTTATATACTGATTATTTTACCCTTGGACTCTGATGTGGGATAACATTCTAACACTCCCCCTCAAGTGGACAACTGGGCCATTTTGAGTCTAACTGGTTGACCACTTGCAAAAGGACTCCCTTCCCCTTGATTTTTTTGAGCGTCAAGACCTAAAGGACCACGAGCCGTTGGGTGGACCACGAGTCGCTGGGTATGGACTTGCAGACGAGCAATCGTGTTAGACAGGCCACATGCCATTGGGTACATACTTCATACGGACAATTGGGCTAAAGACAAACAGGCCAATAGGAATGAACGTCTACACAGACACCTTGACAAATGAGGTCGGCTAAAATGTGCTCCGATACCATGATAGAATTTAAGATGGGGTATGGACAACTGGATTGGGTAATAAGACACTTGAGTTGAACCACATTAAATGATTGAATCCAATCGATTCGTTAATTCAACTCAAGACCTTATATACCGTTTATTTTACTCTTAAACTTCTGATGTGAGATAACACTCTAACCCATACAATAAAAGGAGATGAAGTCTAGAAAGATGAGGTTTCTCCTTTGGGGCTCACGAACTCAGTTCCTTCTTCCTCTACAGTCACTACGTTGTGTTCCTCATCAAGTTCTCCTCCGAATTGAATGCTTCGGTGGGTGCGGCGACATGGTCGCACCGGAGGGGGTGAGACTTATGCACGCACAGTACTCACACATTGTCCCTCCTTGATCATAGATAGCTCCATTCTTTTAGTTTATCATCAAGGACAAGCGACAAATGGAATCTATGGAATCTGCAATGGAATCAAGAGTAGCTCACATACGTGCCTCTTGCGCTAGACGGGCACGAGCATTGCCTTTTTGGGTTTTGAAGGTTTGGTTGTCAATGACCCAATGCTTCGTAGCTTTGACATGCTGTCCGATAAAAGACATCCACAGAGAAGTGGAGGATCTCCTTGACAAGGGTAGCGTATGGGAGAGGCTTGGTGTTGGCAATAGAGGTGAAGTCGCTCATGTGGATCCACAACCTTGTGTCATTTGATAGGCGTTTGGTGAAGGATGGCGTGCATAAGCCTCACATCATCGACCTTCATCGTGGTTTGGTTGTAGTCACGGAGAATTAGGATCCAGGTGAGGAGATAAAAGAGGAAATGAAGTTCGGGATTGATCCTGTGAATGGTTGGATGGCAATGTACTCGGGCTTGGTCGGTGAATCTAATTTGCTCAAGAAAAGCCTCTTCATTATCGTTGGTCCAATTTGGACCACCATAGTTACTTGAGTCGACGCCCATATAAGGGAGATGGGAAATGGACCCGAGCAACTCCAAGTTGATTTCCTTGTGTTCCCTGTTGACGAAGGAGTAGAGAATGTCGTCCTCTCGACGAAGGTTGGAGTAGAATGCCCAAACTAAAATCAGGTTGAAGGACTTGCCTTCCACGAGCAAAACCAAGCCAGTTCCACTTTTTCCAGGCTTTCCGAGAGAGTGTTGTAGCCCTTTCTGTTAAGATGGTTATCAGTGAGGTAGCGAGGAGGAACGAAGTCTCGCGCAACAAAGTGTATGTGGAAGCGGGTAAGCTCTTCCACTTTGTTGAACTAAAGAACTTTCCCATTGTCGTAGGGAAATGTGGGTTCTTTTTGCTCAATTTGGGCTGTGGTTTTCTTTTTCTTGGATGACATGCGAGTAGGGGCACTATGTTTCTTTGAGCCATCACAGATCTTTGCATAGCTTTCGCAAAATAGAGAAGAGTGTGATTTAAAGGTGTATGAATTTGGGGATAAAGAGTGAAGGAGATTGAAGCAAATATAGAGAGAAGGCTGGGTTAGACAATGTATATATTTTAATAAGGGAATATAGGGAACAGTAAAAAGTGAAATACATTGAGAAAAGAAATTGGTGTTGCTTGCCCAACTAGCTAAAGTGAGCGCTCATATTTCCTTATTGTTGAAAAGCTCGCATAATTTCCGTCCACAGTTCAAAATAGTTTATTAAATTTGGAGAGGAGTATTTGCAAAAATAATAATCAACCTTTGTAGGATTAATAATAGATCAAACGGAGTGATTAAAAAGTCAATCTTGCAACTCTACGCCTCTATTACTCTTACTAGACAAGTGCTTGGGCCGGGCAGAGACGTTTCATTACGAGAACTTTTTTGAGCCTAAATCTGACCCGACCCATATAGCGGGTCTAACAATTAAAGCCCGAGCCTGAGCTCGCATGGGATCCGTTGGCTTTGAGCTGGCCCAATTTGCACGACAAAAACTTGTAAATAATTTTAAAAGTATTTTTTTAAGAGTAATGGGTTAATATATTAGATGTTTGATATAATAACTATAACGAGTGAATGAAAGAACAACTAATATATTGATATTGCTTTAATTCATTTAAGCAAGGCCCGACCCGCGGGCTTGAGCATAAAATTTCAGCCCGACTCTAAAATATTCGAGCTGCCATTTATAAGGCCCAAGCCCGACTCGTACCCTAAAATGTGCCTATTAATCACTCTGTTTTCTCTTTTGCAAAAGCTAGGCAATGACTCGTGATGACTCAAAGAAACATAGTGCCCCTACTCGCATGGTATCCAAGAAAAAGAAAACCACAACCCAAATTGAGCAAGAAGAACCCACATTTCCCTACGACAATGGGAAAGTTCATTGGTTCAACAAAGTGGAAGAGCTTACTTGCTTCCACATACACTTTGTTACGCGAGACTTCGTTCCTCCTCATTACCTCACTAACAATTATCTTAGCAGAAAAGGCTACAACACTCTCTCGGAGAGCATGGAAAGGGTGGAACTAACTTGATTTTGCTCGTGGAAGGTAAAGTCCTTCAACCCGATTTTAGTTCGGGCATTCTACTCCAATCTTTGTTGAGAGGGCGACATTCTCTACTCCTTCGTCAACGGGGAACACATGGAAATCAACTTGGAGTTGCCCGGGTCCATTTCCCATCTCCTTTATATGGGCGTTGGCTCAAGTAACTATGATGATCCAAATTGAACCAACGACAATGAAAAGGTTTTTCTTGAGAAAATTGGAATTACCGACCAAGCCCGAGCACATTGCCATCCAACCATTCACATGATCAATCCTGAATATTTCTCCTCTTTTATCTCCTACCCGGATCCTTATTCCCCGTGACTACAATCATACCACGATGAAGGTTGATGATGTGAGGCTTATACATGCCATCCTTCACCAAGCACCCATCAATTGGCACAAGGTTGTAGATCCACATGAGCGACTTCACCTCTATCGCCAACACCAAGTCTGTCCCATACGCTATTCGTGTCAAGGAGATCCTCCACTTCTTTGTGGATGTCTTTATCACACAGCATGTCAAAGCTATGAATCATTGGGTCATTAACGACCAAACCTTCAAAACATAAAAGGGTCAATGCTCCCGAGGCTCCACGTCAAGCCCAAGAGGCACGTATGTGAGCTACTCTTAATTCTATTGCAGATTCCATTTGTCACTTGTCCGTGATGATAAATCAAATGGACGGGGCTATCTATGATCAATGGGAGACAATGCGTGAGTACTGTGCCTGCGTCAAGTATGACCTCCTCTGGTACGGCCACGTCGGCCGAGGCATTCAATTCAGAGGTGAACCTGATGAGTAACACAATGTAGTGACTGTGGACGAAGAAAGAACTGAGTTCGTGTGCTCCGAAAGAGAAACCCCATCTTTCTAGACTTCATCTCCTTCTATTGTATGCTTTCATTACATTTAAGCACTTCTTTATTTTTATCAAGTGTAATTCGCTCTTTTTCAGTTTTTGATGAATATTTTTTTCTTTTTCAAATCAATCAATCATTTTGCTAAGGTGCTAGTTGCCTTTTTGTTGTTTGAGAATCCTTTTGCTAATGTGCTAGTACAATGCTCATTCTGAAACAACGTAGTACACTATTCATTTTGAAATATATTCATTGTGAAACAACGTAATATTCATTTAAAAACATATATATATATATATATATATATATATATATATATATCCTCTTCAGATCATGTTGTTGTTGCTGCTGTAATTCTTTTTGCTAATGCAAAAAACAAGTAAAAGGATATGCAACACATTTTCTAGAAGACTTAATATTGCTATTTTTCTTTTGATTCATTTGTTTTTGTTTGTCAATATCAAAACTGAAGAGTTTGTTTAAATACATTGTCTTTGACATTTTGCTAATGCCATGTTGTGCAAATTTTGATATTCACAAGTTGCCGTAGATAACAAGTTTATATTGAACAAGCTCAAGGCGTGTCAAAAGATCATTTGAAGTGGACGTTGATTAAAGAAACAAGACCAAAAAAGTTTTGAGTTGTAGACTGATAGTTCTTTGTACTATAAGTAGACCTGCACGAACTCGGGTCGGCCCATCTGGCCTTACTATCCCGCCCTTAAAAATAGGCGGATATAGATAACTATATAAATCCATCTGGCCCAAACTTGGCCACAAGATAATATGGACGGGCTTGGACATTGGGTTTGGCCTGCATGGGCCGGAACACCCGCCCACATTATATAAGTATATATAAAATATATAACACACTTATTAAACAATTTATTATAACATGAAAAAATAAAAGATGCAAATTTTTTATTCATATTATAATGTTGTATGATGTAAAAATCATATTATATTCATTATAATATGAAATAAAATATTAGATGTTGATGCGAATATCCTATCGGATAGGGAAAAACTTCGAGCATCATTCAGGCTTCAAGAAGAAGAGAGGATAGAAAGATAGAAATTTTCGAGCATTTTTGTGCTCCTAAAAAAAGAGGAAGAAATTTAAGAGTAATTCTTGTATATTCATAGAATAATAATGATACATGGTTAAAATATATTGAGAGGAGAGAACACCATAATTGACTTAATGGACTCGAGCTCATACTAAAACTCTAAACCTTATGATAAAGACTAATTAACCAATAATTAATTAAATATGTTAATCACCGTACATATCAAATGCAATTATTTTATATATTATAAATATAGATTGATATATATTGAAAGTTGCAAGGTGGGCCTTCCAGTGACTCGTTTGCTAAAAGTCATAAATTTGACAAATTATATTAAAAATTACACGTAGAAATCTAGTATTAATTTAGCCAAAGATATTTTTACTAAATATTAAAGTATTAATTTATAAATTTTTTAAATGGACCGTAAAAATGTACTTATTTGATTGAGTATTTAAAAATATTTCATTCATGTTGACCTTGTAATCAAGTAAATTTTGAATTAAAAGAATAAGATAATCACGAGTAGAGTATTTAATAATTTAAATTTAGAATTGGATGAGCAAAACGAGTTTCAAAAGGGAGTAAACTCCCAAGATGGTCGTTTTTAATGAGGTGTTTTCCCAATCCAGTCCTCAATAAGTTTTAATTACTTAAATGGTCCTCTATAATTGAGATTTATTCCTAAAATAGTCCTTCGTAAATAATGCTACTCAAATGATGATTAATTGGGAGATATTTTGGTATTTTGATCTTCCAAATTTAAAGTATATTTTCAAAACAGTTATTTTCGTACAACTAAATGTAAAATTAAAAAAATACATTGACTATAAATAATTCATGAATTATTTATAATTTATAAAAAATCTTTTAAATTTCAAATCAAATAACATCTTTAATTAGAAAAAAACCATTTTGGGAAAGTACTTCATTATAAATGATCATTTTAAAAGTTAATTTTAAATTTAGCGGATAAAAAAATACCAAAATACCCTCAATTAATCGACATTTGAGTAACATTATTTACGATAGACCATCTTGGGAATACATTTTAATACACAGAACCACGTATGTAATTAAACTTATTGAGAACTGATTTCGGAAAAGAGCTTATTACAAAGGACTATTTTGGGAATTTACTCTTTAAAAGGACTGAAAAGAAAATTTATAAAGGTTCAAAACAATTTTTTAAATTTGGAGAGGAGTATTTGCAAAAATCATAATCAGCCTTTGTAGGATTAATAATAGATCAAACGAAGCGATTAAAAACTCAATCTTGCAACTCTATGCCTCTACTCCTCTTACTAGACTTGATCAAAGTGCGGGCCGGGCTGGATTTTGGGGTCGGCCGAGACGTTACATTACGAGAACTTTTTAAGCCTGAATCCGACCTGACCCTTATAGCGGGTCTAACAATTGAAGCCCTAGATCGCATGGGATTTGTTGGCTTCGAGGTGACAAAAACTTCTAAATAATTTTAAAAGTAATTTTTTTTAAACTAATGGGTTAATATATTAGATGTTTGATATAATTACTATAACGAGTGAATGAAAGAACTAATATATAAAATATGCTTTGTTTGATATTGCTACTATGTACGGAGTACAGAGTATAATTTACTTTTTTCTCAATAGAAGTATGTATGTGTGTTTATAAGAATTTGAAATAGCATTGTTCTTTTTATTATTATTATTATTGTTATTGTTACTTTATTATAATTACATTAGTAATAAATATTTTAATTCATTCGGGCGGCCTGCGGGCTTGAGCATGAAATTTGAGCCCGACTCTAAAATATTTGAGGTGCCATTTATAAGGCCCAAGCCCGACTTGTACCCTAAAATGTCAAGCTCAAATACGCTCTTTTGCTGGCAAGCCGGATACTCGAGCCCGTGATGGGGTCTAGCCTCTACCAATAAAAAGGTGTCCATTTATAGTCATGTCCTCTGGCTTAATAAAACCTCATATTTCCCAATCTTAAACCCCAACCCCAACCCTGCCCAAGCTCGGGGAGATGCCGCGACACGCGAAGAGGAAGCACCTAGTCAGACTAAGGCTCTTGGAGATGCCGCGGCACACGAAGAGGAAGCACCAAGGCAGCAGACTAAGCGGTGGCAAGAAGGTCTGTAGGTGAGAAGATACTACTGGCTCAATTGCTGGTGACGATCAATGGATTGTACCGCCGGTCTCCGGGACCCCTCCTGCCCTTCGCCTTGGAGTACACACATTCCACGTTTCATTTTTTTCCTCTCGACACGTCTTCTATATATTCTCATCTCTGTTATGCATCTGGTTTTCCTTATTTGCAGCATGCAGCTGCAGTTATCCAAGATAAAATGTACGTCTACGGGGGGAGAAGTTACATGACTGAAGGAATCTATGCGGGTGAGGGGTGTTTTCTGGGCGATCTTCACGTAAGGGTTTTCATCCTATTTCTATGGCTGTGGCTTTGTCTGTGTCCGATTGCCTATGTTAACAATGGTACTGACTTGCTCTAAATTTCATCTCTTAGCTTCATGAAACTGAACCATTTTGTTGTAGGTTTTAGACTTGAAAAATTGGTCTTGGTCAAAGCTTGATAAGGATCACAAGAGGATTCTTTCTAGATCTATTCTCGGTCATCCTGGCCTGTCTTTGGTTAGTACTCTTCATCACCTTCTTTTAACAACTCTTGCAACAAATGTATTTAATGCATGATCGAATCAAATGAACCTAAACCGGACCAGTAATACCCGGACCAGCCTAGAACCGGATTGAATAAGACCTATTTCTGAATTACTACTTCCTAATGAAAAATATATTTAAAAAAACAAAGGTTTTAGCTTGGATCAAACGTCCAAAATGACAAGAACTCAATATTGAAATCATAAGTTATTCATTAATGAATGCCACCTGCTTTTTTACACTTTGGTTTGTACACAAAGTCCCAAATCCAAATGATGAATATGTAAAAAGAGAAAACACTCTTAAAACCTTTATACCTCTAATAAAAAAAATACTCCCTCCGTCCCTAAATAGATTACAATTTTTTTTCTCTCTCCTCTCGATAACTTTTGTTTGTTTATGCGATTTCATTAAGTATTTGATAAAATAAAATATTCTTGTCACCTCTTGTTTTGTAGAACTTTTGACGTAGTTTTTTAATATGTAATTTTTATATCTTATTGATATACCAATTTGTAAATGAAATGATTTCAAAAAGTAGAAAATTTTACTCCGTAACCCGCAATTTGTAATCAAATTGGGGACGGAGGGAGTATAAAGGTAATCTTAACATTACAAGGCAAATATATAATGAACATGTAATCTTACCCCATATGTTAAAACCTTAAAACCTCGATAATATAATTAATATAATCATGTACACTCAAGTTCACCATGTCTAGCAAAACAAATGGTAAACAACAATAAAACTACTTAAATCAATACTATATAACAAGTAAATGATTTTGTTATATAAAAAATATGTCAAAATATAGATGTTACCTTTTTCAACCGAGTTTAAGTGTTTCTTTAATATCAATCTTCTTAGACGTCTAGTTTACTTACCGTAGGGGTTAAAGATGTTCGAAACACATCAATGTCGACTCTGATGCAACGGTAGAAACTGGTACAACTAACCAATCATATGCCATACGAGCAACTATGGGATATCAAGGTCCATGAACATGGTACCAATCTCTAAATCTTCTGCGACTTTTGAATCATCTTCAAGTCCCTCATTCAAATATTTTTTCACGTCTATAAACTTCGTCTCACGTGTTCCTATAAATACCTGATCAGTACCCTATTCCAAATATTGAGGAGTTATATGGTGCTGCATGCTTATTAAAGGCGCACAAGAAGGGCTTAAGTTTGGCCAAGTCTGATTCTTTTATTTTAAATTTTTTCCTATTTTGTTTGCAGAATAACAGGGTTCTGTCAGCACAATAATAGGTCCTCTCTTCTTGTCATGATCGACTATTCTTATCGTTTTGTTAGTGCCAACAAAGTAGGGACATTAAATGATTTCTTTGTATTCCAAGATTATAAATATTGCTAGTCCATCTCTATGGTAGCATATGAGTGAATTAGGAGAAAATTCATTCTTCAGTTTCTATCATTCATTTTAGAGCATTAGAGATACTCCTTGCTATTATTACCTCTTCTATTCTTATTGTGAGCAGATTAGGAGAGAGTTCATTCTTCAGTTTCTATCATTCATTCTCTTAATACTTTCCTGCACCTATGAGAAAGACTGTCTAACAAAGACAAAGACATAACCAACGCACACGCACCTACTCTAGAAACTTATCATTGTGTTACGATGTACGCACCAAGAGGTGCCTCTAACTGGGCCTATCCTACTACTACCATCTTTGACCTCTAAATGGTCCTATGTGTGATCATGTTTTTGTTTGCTGCAAAAGATTCGAACCCAGTCTAGTTACGGAACTCTTCTTCAGTCTTCTTCTCCTTTTCTCATATTCTTTACTGCCATCGCCCCACACCTTCCATGGGGCATCAATGATTCTCAATAAGACGTGCCCAAACCACGTCAATTTGGCTTCATACATCTTCATTGACCCTCTCTTTTGAAAAAGTGAAATGTAATTGGATGCCTTTGATTATACCCAAGGAAAACAGTTAATTGCACAAAACTAAACCAAATCTCAGTGGTACAAGAACACTCTTGATGTTCTTGTTTCTAACTTTGCCACAATTCTTTGGGTATAATAATAGTTTCCGTCAAGAGATTACGAATCAACATAGAGATTCTACAAAATAAAAAATCTATGTCACCATTCATATTGTTTGTATTCCTCCGGGTCTAAAATTAGTAATGCTATGTTATATTTGTTCCTACAGGTAACACGTGGAGGTCATTCTGTGAACCTTTTAGGAAATTGCCTAGTGATATTTGGCGGAGAAGATGCAAGATGGAATTGTCCATTGAATGATTTGCATGTCCTTGATCTTGTGAGCCGGAAATGGAGCAAACCGCTGGTTAGGTATGCTAGCATTGCATTTTTGTGCCATTCAAACTGGTCCTTTAGTCGGTTGTTTACTGCTTAACCTCTTCCAGGTTTGAAGCGATGGGTTGCATAACTCTTGCTAAATGCTGACAACTTGGTTTTGTTTACAACACATGTTGATAACAGCACCTCTTATCTTTAGTCAGTATATAAATTGTACTCCTGGCCCAAAAGTTATACTCGGCGCAAAGATTAAGAAAAGTGAAATTGTGTTGTTAAAAGTGAGGCGAAGGCCAAAGAGAATGAACCACAAAAACATTTTCAAATGTGGAAAGTGGACTCTTATTTGGAAAGTCCCAAAAAAGAAATAGGGACTTATTTCAGGATAGAGGGAGTATAGTTTTGAAATTTAACTGCATTGCTAAAGATAAATTTGAAATTTTTTTTCCATCTCTTCTTAGAATGAAGGGGGCTGAGGGGAGCAATGCTTATGATTGTCTCTGTTTTTATCATAACACAGTTGTAATGTCATCTTTGTACAGAGGAGTTCCTCCAGCAGGCAGGTTACACCATGCTGCTACTGTTCATACGGCTCGTCGCTAGCTCCCGATATTTGGTGGTCTTAAATATCTAGATTTCGTTAATGATCTCCATGTTTTAAATATTGACACAGTAAGGCACGTCTTAGCTTTTTCTTCTTCTTCCAATTAGACGAGTTCACAATTTTATTCTTCTCTCTTGCTCCCATGTAGTGGGAATGGTCGAGACCCAAGCAGCATGGGGAAATACCAGGACCACGCTGTGGTCATGCAGGTACAACAATTGGAGATAGCTGGTTTATTATCGGTGGTTACCATGGAGCCAGTCGAACCCCTGGTAGAAAGATATCAATATTTTTTCTTCCTGCAACTATTTCTATTTATTTAATGAATTACGGCTTATATTCAATTTCCGCTTGTCTAAAGATGACATTATCGTCCTCAACATGTCAAATTATGTATGGTCAGTGTTACCAACTACAGGGGAATGCATCTCTGCTACCACGCTGGTAACTTATTGATGATATAATTGTTGCCTGCCATTGTTTTTCATTCATCTTTTGGATCAAGAGTAATGTATCACTCTATGGTACTATTGTCGCAGGGATTGAGTTTGGTTGCGAGTGCCTATAAAGGTCAGACTGTGCTGATATCTTTTGGTGGATATAGTATGTGCATTACGAATAAGGTACGGTAACTCGCACGTGCGCGTGCACATACACACACGTTTATGTGTGCACATGCATCTCCTGAACAACGTTTGAACAACTAATTGGGTGTATGTTTGAGAGTGTGGTATTGGAGTGCTGTTTGGCCTTGAATAGCTCTTCCTTAGAAGGCTCTTTTGTCTAGCAGACCAACCGTTTCAAAAAGTTCTTTGAATTTTGGACACCAATTTATAGTAGTTATCTGGAAGACTTAAAAATAAAAATTTTCTGAAAGTTATAGCAATTTATCAAGCCACACTTCTGAATATGTTGAGGTTTTCAAGAATTATATTTATTTTTTAATTTATATATTGAATTGTTTCTTTAAAAATGAATGCATTTCCTCCAATTTTAAAAGAGTGTGTACTTGCCTCTTTTATTAATTTTACATTAGGCAGGGATTTGATTCATGATAATGAAAAGACATTTCGACCAATAGAATAATTCCGGTGTACATAAAATGTAATTTTAATAAATTATATTTGTAATTACTAATTTTTTTATAACTACAAAATCTTCAAAGTAGGGATATAGATGTTAGACATAGTCCAAGTGTTTTAATACATCAAGAACAACTAAAACAACTCTGTAGAATCCCATGAGAGTAGGGCCTGGGGAGGGTGTTGAAAGTTCGTGGGGGGCGCAACGGATAACACCAATTAAGAGCTATGCAAACAAATCAACCAGCTATGCTGCAGATAACATTCTGCAGCACTGTCACAGTAGCAGATGACAGATAGCGCGCTATAACACTTCTCTGTCACAAGCACACACAGAAGCAGATGATGCAGAGGGCGTTACAGCGCCTACTGGGCAACAACAACAACAACCCAGTTGAATCCCACTACAGTAGGGTCTGGGGAGGGTGTGTGTACGCAGACCTTGCCCCTATTCGAAAGTAGGGAGGCTGTTTCCAAGAGACCCCCGGCTCAACCTACACAAAAAATCGGCTCAACCTGCACAAAAAATATGGTAGAGAACACAATATAACAGGATGCCTACTGGGTAGAATGCTGTAACTATAAAATGCGTAAAAATAACACCGGATATGTTTACGCAGGTCGGAGAAACTCTCCTAATCTGCGGGGCCCACGTCCGTGTAATAGCCCTCCACTAAATCACTAGATGCAAGTTACACCGGTACATAACAACATGATGAGACACCCTTCTCCGAATTGCTATGACAAAACTTCTAATCTAGGATTTCTAACTCGAACTCTATCCAGATCCGCTTCGGCTATCACATCTCGACCGAGATCACGAGGACAAACGTGTTGGCAGCCCACTCGTTCAGCTCTGATTCATCTCCTGGACGTCACGATCTGTTTGGCATTGAAGATCTCCTCCTTCATGTAGATCGTAACCTTCTTCACGCATGGGAAGCTCCGGGATGCGACGGGAACGCTCTACATCAGCGTATATTTTGTATTTTCCCTCTCAATCGCTCCAAGTAATTCCCAGGAACCAGCTGCGTTTTTATAGACTCCTCTTAACACAATCCTAGTAGGAATAAGATAGTAGAAGTTGGCTTGAACTCTACTTCTTTAATCTTGATCCACAAGTAGCCTAAATAGTAGGGATTCCTTAGCATGTACAGCTGGAGTTATTATCATGTAATCACAATCCCAATAGGTCTCTAATTCAGATTGCAGCTTAAAATCCCGTGCTCAGACCTTTGATCCCGCACACTGTGTTGCAGCATCGTGCTTTAGCATCTTCTGCGTCAACCTCGAAAACTGCAGCAGCTCTAGAAGTTTAAATAAAATAAACCTCTCCTAACAAATAGAGGTTCCTACCTAGTAAACATCTAACAAATATGGGATTCTATTTTGCCAAAAGTTTAGCCAACACCTTGGAACTAACAGGTGTGTGTTCTTAGATCTTACCCTACTACTCGAAAGTAGAGAGGCTGTTTCGAAAAGAGCTTTTTTTAAAATACTACCTCCATTCCAATTTGATCTCATTGTGTGAAAAATTCTATTACTTGTTTTTGGTTTAATTAAATCTGAATTAGTTTTACCAAATACGGAGTATCTGTTTGCCAAACACAACCATTACTATGTTGCCTCTGTTGCATTTTCCCTTTAGAAAGGTAAAAGTGTAATAAGTTGTTGATATTGGCAGGTGCATATCCTTAAACCAAGCCATAAGTCACCCTTGATGACACCGATTCCCAACAGTACATATGGTGTGCATGATGCTCCCAATGATACCTTTGATCCCAGGGTAACAAATTACTTGGGACTTGCTTGGTATAAATGAGTACTTGTTTTCATGCTGTTGATTGATTGCTTAGACTGGCATTCGTCTGATCAGGGAACTGGGAAAACCGAATCAACCGCTGCTTCTGCTGCCGAAGATCACCTTGCATCTCTCTATGTAGCGCACTTTCCTCTATCGTGTAGTTTAGAGTGTGGCTGATATTTGTTATACTTCCTCCAGTTTTTTTAGTAGAAACACTTGCTTTTTCATGGCTTTATTATTATGCAGGAGCTTCAATATTTACGTGATCAGCTGAGAGTTGAGGATTTAAAATATAAAAAACTTGAGGTGCTTGGCTATTTCTACTGCAATGGCATATCGGCGTAATTTGCTACACTCGTGGGTAGAACATCTTTGAGAAATTCATTTGGTATTCATATGTGCAGGCATATGTGAGAAGTCGGAATCTAGAGATCTTTGAATGTGGAGAGACAGGTCAAATAAAACTTGTAAGTGCAGCGGAAAAGTTGAGGAGGATACAATTAGCCACAAACTCTGATATTGCAGAGTTTTGAAATGATTTCATTTATAAATTAGTATCATTCTTGGGTTGGACGACTAACATTTTTAATATGATAAGACTTTTTGCACAATAGCACATCTTTTATTTGATATACTGAAATACTTAATTTAGTAAATATCCATTTCTTGCTCTCCAAATACCACATATACAAGTTTCAAATGCTTCGTAGAGTTTTTGTGCAAAATCACGGTGCCAGAAATGATGAGTGGTTGTTTCATACTCTCTACTATTCATATTTACGGACAAGAATCTGCTCGGTATTTCTTTCATTTGTAATTTATCTCTGAAAGTTATTTTGAACTTTAGTATATTTATATGTTACACCGCACCACTCACACCACTTAGGCTTGATTTTTCCCCCTTAAGGCCATTGTACCCGGTCATTAAATTATAAAGCTCATTCCTTGGCAAATTAGTGAAATAGTGTTTGACATTCATCTATTTTCAATAATTACACGAGTCTAAATTGGGAGAAAAATATACAGAAATGAAATGTTATTATATAAAATTGGTAACTTATTAATTATAGAATTTGAATAAAGAATCATTTAAAGAAATGGAGAAACAATGTACGTGTTCATCTTTTTTAGGATTTGAAATTTAGACTTTATCCCCAACGCGATCTAGGACTTTCTATTGAAGAAAAAAGCGGGTGGAGATGATGGATGCCTAGTTTGTTGTATATTACAGCGGAAAAAAAAAATCCGAACTTATAAAACGTTCGAATTTTACAACAAGAAATGAAAGAAAGTAAAACTTGGAGTCTTCGGGAGCTCGAACGGACTTTTTCTTCGGACGGAGAACAAAGGGTCGCCGGAGATGTTTCTTGAACCGTAGGTAAGGAAAGCGGAGTCGCCGAAGCTTTCCTTAAGGTAGTATTGCCCGCCTCCCGCACTGGCTAACGTGGGCAATCTCCTCCCAGGATAAAACCGCTACGTGCTAAGTCTAGAGCGGTAGAACAGAGCACCGGCGAACGAGAACGACAGGAAGTTATCGCCGGAGAAGGTGATCGGAGATTTGGAGATCGTCGGAAAGTTTGTATAACGCAGAGAGAGAGATTGTTTCGAGTGTTTCTGCTCCTGCGGCCAAGCCCTCCTTATATAGGAGAGGATTTGGACTCCACTGGACCGTCGTACATTACGAAGAGTCGGTGACTCTTCAACCATTTTGCATGCATGCTTAATTTCGTACACTTCGTTATTAACGAAGTGTACACGCGCGCGTTTGTTTCGGTCTCGTAAAAATTTAGCCACGCCGCAGTCGCGACTCGCCCCGCCGCGCGCGCGTGTCGTGTCGTGACGTGCCGAGCCGGACGGACGGCGGCGGCGGCGGCGGGCGCGCGAGGAGTCCTCTTCTTGTTCCTTTCATAAGCTCAATTCAAAGCCTAAGCTTAAATATGAGAATACGAAAGGTTTAGAAACCGGTGTGGGACAAAGGCATTTACTCTACCTTAGCATTCAACTTTGAGAATTAATTTCTCATTCACCCGAGCACCGTTTATGACGTGTCATATGTCAAGACGTTCCTCTTACTTACGAGATTAATCGTCCATAATTATTTTGGAAAATAATTTTGTGGACCCAACCGAATTTATGTCCGAAAAAACGTCCAATTTACTTTAAAATTTCCAACAATCCCCCACATGAATGAAAATTAATTCATGTAACTGGCAATAACTCTGAAGTTGAAACCTGCAAGAGTAGGTAGGTTTTATGCCTTTGAACCTACTCCTTGTAAAGTATACCTTCTCTACTGGCTGTTCAGTAGAACGTGATGTCTTTGAACTGTACTGCCGTTTATGTAAACAACGATATACAATACACAAGTTTCAACCAACCATCATTCCGTTCTCATGGGTGTGCCCATTATGGTCGTGGAACACGCATCTGGTTCTGCGAGAGTGTCAGACAGGATCAGCCCGAAATCCTTCTGTTGAAGCGACCGCACTTCACTCTTACATAGGTGATTCTTCTAA